CTGACCTTTAGCCCCTACCTCAAATCCCTTACAAAAGCCTTCGTGGAAACCTTAATACCTGGACCCCAAAAGAATGGAGAATAATAGCCCTTTTCATAGTATTGAGCAATTGTTTAACCTCCTTTTGGGGGTTTAGGCATGAACTTAGGAAGCAAAGTGATTCTAGTATTCAGAAAGTTAAAGGTTACCCAATCTACTCCTGGGGCTTACAGTAAAAGCCAGAAAGTTGGAATATGATTATCCTAAACCCTTTATGGTAAATTATAAGGTATCCTACCCTGAAACCATATTCCAACTTTCTGGAGTTCCCTGTAGAAACTGAGGAACTCCCCCTGCCTGCTTTGCAGAACCCTTCCTCCAGCGGCTAAATGCTCGGCCTGGAGGCGAAGATTGGTTTAGCATTTTAGAGTTTAGGGTTTGGGGGTTTAGGGTTGAGAGTTTAGACTTATAGAGTTTAGGGGTTTAGGGTTTTGTGGATTGGTGGGTTTAAGGCATATTTTATCTTGAAGCACTTTCTTCCACCCGCCCAGCTAGGGTTGGTTAGAGCTCGCTTTGTCAGGCGTGGCAGGTTAAGGTCTTTTCTGGATTAGGTTCAGGGCTGAGTTCACCAGAGTGGCAAAACAATACCGACCTTTTCGGGATTCCCGATTGGATTCCCGATTAATGAACTGACTTACATGTCGTCCTTAAGGGCTTTCGGTGTTAAGGCCTGGCATTTTGCCTGCATTTTAGGTTTTAGGGTTGGAGTTCATGCTTTTCTGGTGGATCTGGTTTTCCAGTTTACACTTGACTGCAGGGTGCTGGAGGGTACTATAGGTCCGTTGAGAGGTTTTTGGATGTTCGCAACTTGCTCGCAAAGAGTTCGTACTAGTTTGGGAATGTCCCATAACGTCCCCAGGTAGGGTCTTGATTTCAGCTCCATGTGCCCATACGCCCTTACGATTGGGAGGATGCGGCATCCTCAAATAAAGCAAGCAAACACAAAGCTTGCCATGTGTTTGTAAGGCGCTGATGAATGCCGCAATACACTGCGCGACAAAGACATAGTTAGATCAACCGGGAACGTCCTGCCAGGACATGTCTTGTCATTTTCTATGAGCCCTACAATGCGAACCTCGTCCTCAAACAAGATGCACATGGCCGCACAACCACAAGCATGAAAGGCTTTTGAACCGGCATCGCGCTGGTCTGGAGAACTGTGCTGCTTGCATTCCTGATCTACGGTCGCTGATGATCGGTATGCCTGCGTCTCTCATGGAGACGCACTGACCATGCGACAGACATCAACAACTTCTTTACAGATTAGGGATTTGGGGCTTGATGGCATCGATTGTTAGACTTGAGTAAAGTTTAGTGGCATGGGGCTCAGCCAAAAGTAGTCAGCTCCGGTTGAAGCAGACTACAAAATCAATGGGACAGCTGCCGCTGATCAGAAGACGATATACCAGCTCATGCAAGACAGCGCTCGTCCTGAACCATAAACCCTAAAACCCTAAACCTTGAGCCCTAAACCCCTAAACCCCTGAAACCCTAGACCCCCTAAACCCTACACCCCTGAACCCCTGAAACCCTAAACCCCCAAACCCCTGAAACCCTCAACCCCCAAACCCAATGTGTTTCGAGGCGGCTCAGGCTCCTGCTCTTCTAGACCTACGTGGGTAGTTGTCAAATAGGGGTCCCTGTTTGGGTACCCTAAATAATAGGTGCCGTATTGTATTAGGGACCCAAAATGGGACCATGATTTTGACAACCACTCACATGTTTACAGATCCTTATGATGCATTACATTACGGTTTAGGGTTTAGGGTTATGCTATATGAAGTTCGCATGAAGTTATATATTGTCATAAAGCACTAGACTATACCGAAGATGAAGTATTCTATGAGATGATTAACATGTTAGCCTTCTTTACATAATATCCCTATCCCTCCAGGGACCTTATTATGGGGTCCTTAAGGGGTCTAGGGCCCTAACTATGAGGTCCTTGGAGGGATAGGGTATGTCCTCAACAGGATAGGTCGCTAAGCGAAACCCCGAAGCCTCGACTTCGGAGCCAGGTTACTCATAAATGGGTGTCTAGACCCAAGAGTAACCCAGGCATAAAAAGGATGCCCTTTTTGGTTTAAAGGGGATTATAAGGGAACCTGAACCCTAAAAAAGGGAATAAGGGCCTACTCTGGGTCCTAGGTGTTCTGAAGAGTTCCTCAAACGGATCTAGCAGGGTTTAGGGTTTAGGGTTCCTATATAGAAGGGTTTAGGGTTCCTTGATAGCAGGGTTTAGGGCTTAGGGCTCCTTGATAGCAGGGTTTAGGGTTTAGGGCTCCTGTATAGCAGGGTATAGGGTTTTGAGTTTAGGGTTCCTTTATAGCAGGGTTTAGGGTTCCTTTACAGTGGGGCGCCAGGACGCAGGCATCCGTCAGCAGGCACACAGCTACGGCGTGGCTGCAGGCGGCCAGTGTTCGGAGAGCTCCAAAGGTTTCCGACAGCTCGGAAAAAGCTTTCGTTTCGTAAGTTTAGGCTTTATGGATTTAGGGTTTGGGTTTTAGTCTTTAGGGTTTAGGGTTTGGGGTTTGGGGTTTAGGATTTGGGGTTTGGGGTTTAGGGTTTCGGGTTTGGGGTTTAGGATTCGGTTATAGGGTTTTAGGGTTTGGGGTTTAGGGCTTCAGGGGTTTAGGGTTTAGGGGTTGGGGGTTGGGGGGGCCACTTGAAGGTCATGGGGCATAGATGTCCGGATTCTGAACCTGAGGTTCCAGCGTACCTAGCCCTCCCAACTACAATCTACCCAAAGGCCCCAAAGTAGTTTTTTTGGGGTTCATATATAGAATCCTATAGGGTAATCCCAAAAAGGAACTACTTTGGGGCCTCTGGGTAGCCTAAATACCCGGATGCCTTCAAGTTCTGGCTCTCGCCAATATGCCAATAACTGCAACCATGGAAGACTCAGGGATTTTGGGGTTCAGGTTTAGGGCTTGTCACGGTAGAGGGCTCCGAGCTATAATCTAAGGCTTGTACTGTTTTCCGGTTTGGGCTGCAGCGCCATTGCTGGGCTCCCTGCTCCCATGGCAACCGTCGCTAATGGGCTGCACAGGGGTATACGTACCCTTAGGTCCATGCATCAACCCAAAGGCCCTAAACCTCAAACCCTACAAGCCCTAATCAACAAACTGAGAGCCACAGAGGCCTTAGAAAAAGGCAGGATTCAAGATTTAGGGTCCAGGGGGATGAAAGTTCTTGCGGATCAGGCCTTTAATGTCTCGAGGCTTTGCATGTTCGGCCTGGTGTACCAGAGTTAGGATTAGGGGGACCCTTTGGGATATAGACCCTCTCAATCAGGTCCCTTCTAAGCGAGCCAGAAGCCGTACGTTTAAGAAGGGTCCACTCCAACAGGTTTCCCTAATATACTACCTAGGAGTAGAGATTTGCACGAAGCTCGGCAGCACACAGGTCTACGAGCTACGACGGCTTCACACATCTCTAAACTGTATTTTCCGTTTAGGTGGCTTAGGGCTTTAAACAAGCTTCCGGAGCTCGGTAAGGCCTGGGACTGTAGATCTGTTTAAGGGTCCCGGCTTAGCTCTGGACTTTGAGGGGTTCAGCTTTAGGGCTCGGAGACTACGAGATGCCCCAAACGCAAAATACTACGCTTCAGGGTTTTGGGATTAAGGTTTAGGGTCTATAGGGTTTACTGCAATCATCACACCAGAGTTTGAGATCAAAGCTGAAGTAAGGAGTTCGTAAGGATTAGTGGAGGGTTTTCGGAATCTTGAGTGCCGGGGGGGTTCAAGAAATTGGTATCTTTCGAAAAATCGGGGCCATAATCTGGGGGTTAAAATTACGCAGAATAATTCATTTCTGGTTCTCAGGGTGTCAGATTACTGCCGCATCTGCCTTTCAAGAGCTCAAAAATCCTCAAACGTGCATCCCGCTGACGGCTTCAAAGCGCGCGGGTGCCGTGAGAGCCCGGCGCACGCCCAGTCTACGTCGGTCAAGATACTAAACTCCAAAACCTTCATACTCAGAATCACAATAGGGTTTCGGGGATATTGTAGTGAAGAAACAAACAGCTTAAGGAAACCTAAGGAATAGTGTTGACAAACATTGAGGCCAAAATATTAAGAGCCTGTGCGAAATGCTTTGCGGGGGATTCTGGGCCCCTCAGACATGGACGGAAACAGTCTCAAGACCTTCAATCCTCCCTTCAGAGAGGTTTAGGGTTTAGGGTGACCAACAACCTGTGTAGATCCAGGAGCGTTTTCGACTACCGACAAGAGCAATGGACCGAGCGAGTAGTCACTAGTTTGTGAACCAGGTTATGCTAGGCCAAAACCTCTTTCGGTACTGAGCCTTAAAGAACCCAGTGACCGAAACAGTGGGTCACTGGGTGAAGGGTACTTTGAGGTTTGCATTATGGGGTGTAAGGAACAGTAGTCGACTACGTAAAGAAAATGGGCTCGGTCCTGGGGCAATATTTGGGCCTGAACAGTGGGCCAGGGCTCTGGGAGTGTACGAAACCATAGTAATAAATGTGGACCCCTACGAGTAGTAGTGCTGAACATTCAAGCTTCTATACTAAGGTAGAAGCCAGAAAGTTGGAATATGATTATCCTAACCCTTCTGTGGTAAATTATAGGGTATCCTACCATGAAACCATATTCCAACTTTCTGGAGTTCCCTGTAAGTTGAAAGCAGGAATTCGGAGAGAGGCTCTGAAATCTATGGCTTGGGCGGGGCGAAGGTTTGTCGGGCTGGGAACCCCCTGAAACCCTAAACTCTAGACCTTCATAAAACTCTGAACCCCCCACTTCCTGCTACACCCTATAAACCCTAAACCCCAGATGCCCTGAACCCTAAACCCCAAATGCCCTAAACCCCAGATGCCCTAAACCCTAAACCCAAGATGCTCTAAACCCTAAACCCCAGATGCCCTGAACCCTAAAGCTCTAAAACCTAAACTCCAGATGCTCTAAACCCCAAACCCCCACTCCCTACAAACCGCTTCCTCAGGCACTCGGCGCGCCCCACATGGGGCCCAAAACTCGGTGTCCCTCCGTGGGCGCCTTGATCGGCCTCGGATCTATCCCTAAGGGTCCAATGTACTCATACAGTATATACATTGGCCTTAATGTAGTCCCTATATAGGTACTTTGGGGCTCATGTATCTCTATATGGGTACATGGACCCCTAGGGTATACTTGGAGATCATGGGACTTAGTAAGTACGGAAAGAAAGTAGCTTAATCGGGGTTATAAGTAGTTATAAGTATAGTTACCTGAATAGTAACCCGAGTTACTAAGTCCCATGATCCTCCAAGTAGTCGTTCTTGTTTGAACGACCTTTGGTGCTAAGGCTTGAGGGTAAGGTTTCTTGGTTTTGGGGCTCAGGTCTAGCATTTGTCTATGCAGTTCTGTAAGATCTCGATCGGCATCACAGGTGGTGAAAGGTTTCTGCAAGCTGTCTACAGGGGCCTTAAATAGAGGTTCGGGTTCTGGTTTGGATTAGGTTGAGTACGTGGTTCAGGCTTCAGAAGGTTTACATAGGAGTTTAGGCTGCGGATCTAGCAATCAAGGGCTCACGACGATCATCACTGCCAGTACTAAACACAAGTGTTCATTCTGCATACCAGTGTCATCATCAGTATGATTGCTGTTGTAAGTAAGCATTAGTATTGGATCTTCATGCATGGGCCCTAGAGTAGGAGCCCACTTCACTACGTGTTGGTGTGATGCTATTGTTCCTTAAACCCTGAATAGATTGTCTTAGTATTTGCTTAGCCCGGCAACCTAAACCCAAGGGCTATTACGTAAAGGTGTGGCCCCCTGCACGCGATCTTGATTCGCCGAAGGGCAGGGTCTCACCGCGCGCGATGCGATCTCTCAGGATCAGTGTTCCATAACCTGCTACGCGGAACCCGCAACAATCCGGATACAAATCGTTCAGCCCTGCTCAGTGTTTATAGTCTCACGTGGCAACTCTTCCTTCGTGAGGTCAGGTTCGTTGACTGTTGCAAGATCCACCAAATCTGGCCGTTTCAACATACGGTATATGGGCAGGTAGATGAACAAATAGGTACATAGAGAACTAATGACATATAGTCAGAAATAAAACTACAGACCAAGAGAGACAGGCGCAGAAACACAAACAAGATACATAGATGTACATGTATACATCTACATACATACATACGTATATATATATATATATATATACGTATGAATGTATCATATATATATACACACACAGAGAGAAGTATACATAAATATACGTATAATGTTCGCATGAATATATGTATGCTTCTATTGTTCGTATATATATATATATATACATACATACATATACATAGGTAGAGAGAGAGAGAGAACAACAACAAAGGAGATATGGATGACTGTCAGCGGCCAGCCCGCTGACTTCATACCTCCCGAAGCCTCAACTCGCAACGTGTTCAAGGGGTGATGAGGGCCGGAAATGGGGTCAGGATTTAGGGTTTAGCGGCTTAGGGCTTAGGGTTTAGAGGTGTAGGGTGTCGGGGCTTAGGGTTCTGGGAAGTTGGAGATAATCAGAAGCCTTCTTGATTTCTGTAATCTCACACGCTCAACATATCTGAGCTCAGGGGCACCACCCCGAGCCCTTCAACCATGAAGACCGTCGAACCAGAGCAGCTTTGCACTCGCCCTGAATACCATACACGTTTAGGGTTTACGTAAAGGGTCTAGGGGGCTTTATAAGGGATCTACAGCGGATATATATATATATATATATATACATATATAAATATGCAGTTCTTCAGGGATCCATAAGGGTTCTAAAGGAGTTCACCCTAAACTCGTACTCGCGGAGTATACGGGGCCTGGGAAAACAGAAAAGGGTTTGATGGTGTAGGAACCCTAGAGAATAGGAAACATATTAAAAAACTATTCGAAATCAGTTCGACCACAATTTCAAAAACGAAACCTTAAGATCTCATGCGTTTACTGAGAATGGTAACCTCTGTACTATAGCGCTTACAAACGGTAACTGAACATGTGAGATCATATTGTGGTGAATCCACAATAAGCCCGAATACCCCAAACGCAGCATCTCTAAACTATGGCATAAGCCATAGCCCTACCCCAGTTAAAGCGAAGCAGAAAACTGTTTAAATGCTCTGGCTGAACTGCGATCCCAGTATCAGGCTGAGATGGTGGGCACAGGCACCTCAGCGCTGAAGCAACGGATTTGGGCTTAGATGTTCGTTTTGTGCATGCTTGTCTACATATACATGCATACGTACATACATATGTACATATATACATATACATATACATATACATATACATATACATATATATATATGTGTGTGCACATACAAACTTGCATGCATCTATCTGCATGCGAACTGTTTTTGGTTGCAAGTACATACTGATGTCGTTCTTATCGTTACTTTTGTGGCTACTACGGATATTTCTATTAGTACTAGTATCGGCTCTATTGTTCTTAAGTTGCGAATGCTATTGTTGTTCATGTTTGGCAGTTCTGCTATTGGTTGATTCGATGCTGCTGTTAACGTGAACTTTATTACTTTTGTGTGTAGTAGTGGCGGCCATCATCAATATCAATATCACTGTGATTGATGCCATGGATGTCTGTTAATGGTACCTTGAGTGGTGTCGTTGATGTTCTTTCTCGCTCTGTTTTATTACTCATACCATTGTGTTAGTGCTTGCTTTACCTTGTATTTAACATTCTTCTTCTTGTGAATTGTGCTTGTTCTTACTCCTGTACATGACTGTATAGTATACTTGTCTATACTTACACACACACACGCACAGCTTCAACGATCTGATCGCTCAGCGGAACCCGACCTCGAGTGTACGGTACATGTTCTGCGGTATAAAACCCATTCCCTGCCCACACCGAAACCATAATCCCCAAGAGTACATGTGGGAGTTTCCGCACCTTACTTGATGCCTCTGGGAGTGTCTTGAAAGGCGGAACCGCTGGAAAGACCGTTCACCGCTCAAGACGGATGCAACGCACACCCCGTAGTTAGTTCTGCATCCGGAACCGACGAAAGAATAAATTCGATGGGTGATGCCAACGAAGAGCCAACATCCGGCAATACAAGACACATCTACCGATGATGACCGTGGATGAAAGGGCCTAGACCCATGTACAACAAACAATGTCGGAGCGCGTTGTGCTGTACAGCATCCAGGGTAGTACAGGGCTGTCATAATTAATTGACAAAGCGACCTGTATGTTGATTAGACCCAAACAGCTCCTGAGAGTTCAACAAGCCTTAAGGCTGCTTTCCTGTGACAACTTCCCAGCCCTACGGCCCTTAACCCTGTAATCGTGCATCCATTTACCTTCATAGAGCCACAAACCCAAATTCAAACCCACAACACCCAAAATCCTTCATCCCCAAAACCCTAAACCCCTATAAACCCTATACCCTCTAAACCCCTATATACCCTAAACCCTAAATACCCTAAACCCTATACCCTAACAAAGGGTCCCAACTCTAAACTCCAAAACCCGAAACTTCGACCAACCACCATAAACCCTAAACCCTAAACCCTAAACCCCTAAACCCTAAACCCCAACCCAGAGTGCTGGCCTTCTGCTCTTTTCCCATCCGCACAACCGATCCGAGGAGGTCGTCCACTTCGGAAGGCTTTCCTGGAGCAATAACGGTCCCTTAGAATAGGGATATATACGATACTTTAGAGTAAGAGCCCCCATTAAAACAAGGGCTTTCATGGTTAGAATAGGGATTTACGATATATTTTGAACAAGAGACCGAGACCCTACAAAAAATGGCCTTCATTGTTTGAACAGGGTGAAGGGTTTAAAGCAATAAGGGGGCCTTAATTAATCTGGGATAGACGGTACTTAGAGTCAGAGACCCCTTACAAAAATGGGGGTTTAGGGGTTAAAGCAATAAGGGGTCCACAACATTTAGAATAGGGCTTAGGGTTTAGGGCTTGAAGCAACAACGGGGCTCAATCGTTCGAACAGGGTTGTGGGACAGGATATACGATATCTATATTAAGAGACACTACAACGAATCGTACCAGCAGTAACCTACGGCCCTAGTTCCAGAGCCCGCAGCGAACACAAACAGCGAGCGAGAGAGAGCACACAGGACAGCAGTATTGAGACGAACGCGGGACGGAATGATAAGGTCATATGTAGATTTACGAGTGTACTGACATTCTTCCCTCAACCACAACACGGTGATCAAGTGCATCTGTAGTCCCATGATCGATCCTTAAACCTGCGCAGCCCAGGTGCCATTCCAGAGGTCGCGGCTGCAGCTGGTGGTGGCGCCAACGGCAGCTTTCAATGCCTGAAGCAAAGCTTTAGGGTTTAGGGTGTAGGGCATTGTAAGGAACCCGAAATGAGTCCAGTAGACTCAGGGCCTGCGGTACATCAGATTGTTGAACCTTGGAACACTTGCACGCTTCAGGCTCAGGCTTAGCAAGATAATGGCAGGGCAGCATACCTTCATGAGATTCGAGGGTAGTTAACGTTTCCAGTTCGAATTTCTTGAGTCATTACGGCGGAAAACTGAAACTTGAAGTGTTTAACTGTATGGGGTCTAGAGGGGTGCACTGTATCGATGTTTAAGCGAAGCCCCTATGCCCGAAACACCCCTTAGTCCCAAAGGACTACACCTCAAAAACCCTGACCTGAAACAACCACAAACCCTACGACACCAAACCTAGCCCCAAACCCAAAACCCTAAACTTCAACGTCGCCGAGTGAGCCTCCACCCGCTTTTCCAGCTGTTCCATCTCGTACTTGATGCCGTAACCTCACTTGAAGCCCCCTTATGGGTCGAGTCGCAGAGTAGGGTGTAATACAGGGCCTTCGATAATTTGAATTTAGAATTTTAAAATAGGGTCTTGAGGCCCGTGTTGTACATACTTATAACAACGAACCCCAAACAGCATTGGAAATTGTTGAGGCCCCTATAATATTAGGGTTTAGGCAGGGTCTAGTTTTCAGGGTCTGGGGATATAGGTTGGCCGTGAAGTGGTTCAAGGATAGGGACACTCTGTCCAAAGTATCTTATAGTACGTACGTACTATAAGCTATAGTACATAATACACAACATATGTATATATGTACATATATACGTATAGTACATATATATATATATATACATAGCATATACATATATGCACAGACACATGTGATGATGGTAAATGCATCGGTACATGGGCAACTAGGGTTTGTTGAGGTTACACGGCTTCGCATATTGAGGCGGAAGGGCTTCAGGTTTGAAGGTTAATGTGGAGCCCTGGCCAACAAGCCCCTCTGTTTCAGGGACCGAAAAAAGGTAAACTCTAACCCCCTAAACCCTTTATGTTTAGGGCTGGACATCCAGAGGGTGCATGGGGGTAAGGGTGTCGGGGTGAAAAGGGTTAAGGGGTTTGGTGGCTAGGGCCAGCGAGTTTGGTGTACCGGGATAGTTGTTTCGGGCATTGTGTTGTTTTTTTTGACATTGTGGTTTAGGGCTTAGGGACTATGGGGTCTACTTAACAGATCGGCAAGCAGGCAATGAGTGGGCTTTAACCAGGACAAGCATCCGTCGGGTACTGTCAGTGCTGAGTAAGTAAGACCTGCAAGTACTTAATAAGTCTGCTGAGCGGTGATTAACCCAGATAGAATCAACCACCATTCCCGCGAAGGACTTTGAAACAATAGTGTGTGCTGGCATAACCAACATTATTGAACAGCACCAACCCCGGCAAAAGAAGCAATCCTATAATATTTTGGAATCTCCCATATACCGCAGGCCCTGAGCCCCAAACCTTGTGGTGTTGTTCGATCTACCAAGCGCCTTGGGAAGATTTAAGAATTTTTCTTCGAGATCGCATGTCTACAGGGCTGCAGTGCATCATGCTCCGCATTAATTCGCACGGTTTAATGTAGGCCGCGGATCCACGAATCCCTTTTTGTCTAGGCCTTCATTTGAATCTCTGCCACTTTGACCCTCATTACAGGATGGCGCACTACATTGCAGCATGTAGAGCTGCAAGGGCTTAGGGTGCTGAGGTCAAACTCAAGCTGCCAATTCGTCAACTACCTATAGTCTCCATTGTAGTTCCTTTTTCTGGTTATCCGATTTTATGGTAAGGATCCTATAATAGAGATTTTGGTTAACCAAAAAAAGGAACTACAATGGAGACTATAGGTAAACTCGAAACCCTCAAACCCTGCCATCCAGGGTACTGTGGCAAAGGTTGATGATCTCAGTCATGGCAGTTCGCCAGGTTAAGTACAGCTCTGGAATCCTTGCCAAGGCTTCTTAGGCTGTAGGGGTTGAGTGTTGAAGGTTTCGGGCTTCAGGTGGAGTAAAGGGCTCAGGCGGTTTAGGGGTTTACGAAATCGCAAAAGCAAAAACATATCGGGAACTGCTGACCAGGTTTTCTGCAACCCTGACCCCTAAACCCTAATCCGTTAATCCAAGAGCGCCTAGCTTTAAAATCCGAAGCCGTGCACCCTCAACAGGCTTAATTCTGGCTGCTGCTCTGCGTGGTGCACATCACCGTAAGTCAGAGGAGCTACCGTCAAACCTACCCATAGTTGCAAAAGGCAGATCTCGTAACTGTTTTCCTGCTTCGGGGGTTCGAGGGTTTAAGGGTTTAGGATTTTGGGGTGTGAAGTGCATGCTCGGCAACTTCATAGACCCTAAACCCTGAATCCATGGGTCTAGGCTATCGGGTCAATGGCTTCGTGCTTTTGCGCCCTGCTCTGCATCCCTTGTTGCAGGCCAGGGACTGGGGTAGAAGGTCTCAGTTATGCACTTGCCTACCTACTGTAGGTACGCAGGCAGGCAAGCATGCAAACAGTAGTACATACACCCTTGCATACAAACATACATCACATAACATACCATACCATAACATCACGCAGCGTCGCATAGCATAATATAACACAACATGATATAAGCTAAGGTATCATGGGGTTATAGAAAACGAGGTAAGAGAATATAGTATAGCATAACGTAACTTAACATGACACACCATGCAATGGCACAGCATGATATAGCATAGAACAAGATAAGCGTTTCATAGCACGGCGAAGTCACGACAGAACATCGCAAGCCACACAGGCAACACACCGTGGCACAACATAACACAGCGTCAATACACCACAGACATCCACAGACATAATACATACATGCATACCTACCTACATGCATGCATACACAATTACATGCATACCAATACATTCCATCCAATTACATATTCGTATAAAGTGTGTGTGTGTGTGTGTGTATATATAAATATACATACATATATATATATATATACGGAATCGTAGAATCGTAGAAGTCTTTCGATTCAAGCACAGGAAATAGGGGACCGTGTTTAGACGAAATATGTCACCACTCTGCGTTGTCTTCATATAACAGAAGCAGCTGACCTGCTCAGAACTGGTTGCTCGTAAGGTTATATGCGGATTGACTAGCAAGATAGCACGCTACTGCAATTAGGTGAGCTATGCCTTGAACTGAAGCAGGCGCGGAAAAGCACGATCATTGAAGGAACCCAAACCCGTCACTGTCCGCGTGCAGCTGGGTCACTGAGGGATCACGTCCTGCGTCGCATGGGGCCCAGTCGTCGCTTGGACGGCCGTGGTCGAGCAAATGAAGGTGAACTTCTCCCAGATCCTAGTCGCAGGGGTTCTTCGAATTGGAAGGTCTTCAGGGTGTGTGGTTTAATTAAGCGTTTTAGTCGATGGCCCGTGATTGATCCCTGAAGCAGGCTTGGAAGCATGCTCACAGCCCCAAACCCATGCAACCCTTATAGAACCGCAAGAAGCCCTCGAATTACAACCCTGATAGACTACTAAACCCCAAACCCTAGACCGCAAAACCCCTACAGAACCGGAAAAAACCCTATCCCTCCAAGGACCTCATAGTTAGGGCCCTAGACCCCTTAAGGACCCCATAAGAAGGTCCCTGGAGGGCTAGGGAAACCATAAGCTGAACTGATCGGAGCAGCTTTGCCAGCGCGTCGTCCTCGAGGTGCCCCTGCAAGAAAGCGCTTCCATTCTTGACTATGAGCGGTAATCCCGTTGCCTTACTTATTCAGAAAGGTCAAGGGATGGTGTTTCCACTACGATGATATAAATCCTGCATTACCTCAAGGATCCTAAACTGGGCATCACGATATATTCCTTATGATGGGAAATGCGGGATTTATATCATCAACAGTATAGCGGGTTGTGGGGTATATTCCGGTATGCTATAAAACTATAAGTATATAAGGGAGGCTTCTTGACGAGAATCACAGCCCTCCCATGGCAAAACCCCAAGCCCAGACCGCAGCTCCCCAACTATGAGGATCATGGGACTTAGTAATTATGGTTATAAGTACTTTGATTGGGGTTATAAGTGGTTATAGGTATAGTTACCTTAATCATAACCCTAGTTACTAAGTCCCATGATCCTCCAAGAACCAGCAAGTTAACATTGCATGATCTGAAGCACCTTGTCGAATCGCTACATAGCCCAAACGTTACTGCGGGCGGTCAAAGTTAGCAATTAACCGGACTCCATGCCCTCCATGTTCGTTCTGTTTGCAGGTCGCCAACTTCGGTCTTTCTGCAAGGAACCATGCCTCCTGAACTAAGTCTTGAGCACCACAAAGCGGTCTCCGAACCCCCCCTCCACACCTTGATCCCTGAACATACAAGCCTTCTAACTCCAATTCATCATTCAAGCCCTATAATAAACATACATAAGCCTTTAACATTATTCTAACTTAGGTCTATAAGCCCTATTTCTTCAGTCTAACTTTTAATCTTTATTCTAACTTAGGTCTAAGCCGTATTCTTGCAACCTTTAAGGCCCCTGTCGCTTTTAGCTCAGAAATTTGCAGGAAATGGCCGAACCTCCATGCCAGGAGCCGCATCGAGGATGGCTTTCACCTGGCTCGGAAGGGTCGTCCCAAACACGAAAGCCAGACCCCCGCGGAGGATCTAGAAAGTAGATCCCCTATTTTGGGGCCCGAAACTCGTATGTAAGGGTACTTTTTAGGAACCCACATTAAGGGATCTACTTTTTGGATCCTCCCGGGGGTCTGGGAAGCCTTTTAATCAGCCAAAGAAGCCTGTAAAGACCCTGAACCCTTTAAGGACCCTAAAGCCTGTTTTAAGGAGCCTAAAAGCCTGTAAAGATCCTTCAAGGTCACCCTGAACCCTTTCAGGAGCCAAAACCACTGAAGGCTTTAAGGAGCCTAATCTTTTCAGGGGCTTAAACCCGGTAAGGGGCCTAAACCCTTTAAGGGACCCTAAACCCTTTAAGGGACCCTAAGCCCTTTAAGAGACCCTAAGCCCTTTAAGGGACCCTAAGCCCTTTAAGGACCCTAAGCCCTACAAGGATCCTGAACGCTGACTCTGGTCTCCTCCAGAAAGTCGGGCCTGTTGAGTTCGCTCAGTGGGGGCGCCGGCGAACCTGAGAAGCTCGGGTTTAGGGTTTAGGGTTTTGGTTTGCAGCTTAGAAGCTCGGGTTTAGGGTTTTGCGTTTTGGGGGTTCTTCGGGGTTTGGGGTGAATTGGGGTTTACCTATAGTCTCCATTGTAGTTCCTTTGTTTGGTCTAACCAATTATATATTAAGGATCCTAAAAGGTAACCCCCAAAAGGAACTACAATGGAGACTACAGGTAGGGTTCATTAGGGTTTTTTTTTGGTTCATTAGGGTTTAGGGTCCAGGCTTTGGTGTTTAGGGTTCAGGGTTCGGATTTGAGGCTGAGGTTTCCTGGAAAGATTCCTTCAAGAGTTCGGTTCCCCAAAGGGGCTCCTTAAAGGTGCTGTATAGGGGATCTAAAGAAAATTAGGGTTCTGCAAGGGTTCGGCTCCATGGCCGATAATAAGGTTTTTGGGGTTTCAGGTTTAGGTTTTAGGGTTTAGGGTTTAGGTTTTAAGGTTTGCGAAATTTAGGGTCTACAGTAAACGGAACCCTCAAAAGGAAGCGTTAAAGGGAAGCCTTAATACAAAGCAACAAGTACCTTCAGGAGCAACCCGTGACGGAACCCACGCAACTCTCAAGCGCTGAGCTATTGGAGGATGCCGGAGCGCTACAGCCCCTTGATCTATAGGGCTTAGGGTTTAGGGGTTTAGTGCTTGTTTCAATAGGGTTTAGAGTTTAGGGCTTAGAGTTTAGGTTTTAGGGTTGAGTGTTTTAGGGGTGTAGGCTCAGGGTTGTTAGAGTTTTGGGGTTTATGGCGGTTTGCAAGAACCCGTCTGAGAACCCTTGCGAACCTGCACACAAGTCCATGAAGAAGCCTCGTAACCCCCTACTAATAAACCCCAAAACCAAAACACATCGCCCTGCACCCCTCAACAAACTCCAAGTGCCCTGTAAATTCCTTTGGTCATCTTGGGTCGAACCAGTCCGAAGTCGATATAGAACACATATGAACCCTTAAACTCCTCACACCCTCTCAAACCCAAACCCAAAACCTGAAATTGCCCCTAAACCCTCTAAACCGTGCAAACCGTATGCCCCCAACCCGGGTAAGGAAGCTCGAATCCCTAACCTTAAACCCTAAACCCCTGGACCCTAAACCGAAGTCTGTCCCAAGCCGAGGAAACTCTCCGAAAGTGATGTAGGGAGGGTTCGCCGCCCAGTGCTTGATGTGCCCCGGCTCAGCAATGGCCTTGCTACGGTCTCATTCTCCAAAATCACCGTCACACGAAAACGAAGCCCAGGTCCGCTTGTGACTCTTGTGCGAAGAGGCCATGGCAGGACACGATGACAATTGAAGCTATCACAAGCATGAAACGCAAGCCTAAATCTTCAACCCGTCGTGCTTCAATGACTGGTGTAGACAACCTCGCCAACATTCAAAAGCCGACCAGCAACTTCAAACACGTTCAAGACTGCTCCATTTTTCTACCAAGCTGCCGAGACGATGTTGCAGCAGCCGGCAAGGGCATGGCCCTTTCCTGGGTTCGTCGTCGTCGTAGTAGGAGGAGTAATAATTAATGATAAACCCTTAACCCTAAACCCCTAGACCCTAAACCCTAAACCCTAAACCCCTAGACCCTAAACCCCTAGACCCTAAACCCGAAACCCCCAGACCTCTAAACCCTAAAGCATATCAGTAGTAGTAGCAGGAGATAAAGCCTAGGGGTCTCCGGACAAATGCCGGCCTGTAGGCTTTGGTCGAGTCGGGTGTGGGGGTTTCTTTCGACATGCAGATAGGAGCTTAAAGCTGGTCAGGCAAACACACACACACATGTCAATCTGTATGCCTTTCTGTTGTGAGAACACTGCGCTGAACATCTCCTCTGCAACTAAGCAAGCAAAGCTGCCAAAGCGGAACTGTCGGATGGCCCGTGCGGGCATCATGACAGCACATACCAAAGCAGACGCTGTGACACGAGATAGGATAGGTTCAGCTCCTGTTCCCAACTCCAAGAAAACCCACACGCTAGGCCCTAAACCCTATCCACGTCAAACCCTAAACCCTAACCTTATGAATAAGGGTGCAGGATCCGGGAGTGATGTTGCGGGCTTTCGTGTTCAGGATCACAGGTTTGAAGGTATCCCCTTCTGGTCTAGGAATGATTGTGTTGATGCCCCAAATTTTCAACCTTAACTATGTTTCAATACGCTGGTCTAGTTTTAGGTTTGTAAGTGACTAGCAGGACTGTTTCAGATTATTTCTTTATGGGCCCCTAAGACAAGTGACACCCTAAACGTGTGGTTCACTCGTCTTGCAAGGAATGATTCTTGGAAGTCGCTCACACAGTTTCGAAAGACAGAATAATTACAAGGCTTTGTGGCTTCTGGGTTTGGGAATTTTATGGAATTCGGCTTGTCCTTCAAGCTGAAAAGGACAGGGCCCTAACACACACACACACACACACACACACACACACACCCGCGCGCACACACACACACACACCCGCGCACACACACACACACACACACACACACACACACACCACACACACACACACACACCCGCGCACACACACACACACACACACGCGCACACACACACACGCGCACACACACACACACACCACACACACACACACACACACACACACACACACACACATCACCTACCTCGACCCCGCGAACTTTCGCTGCGGAGAATGGGTTCTGTTTCTATTTCGATATATGTATGTATATGCTAATATGGTTTTTACACAGGTCAATAGGGTTTGCCATAGGTCCTTGTAGGGCTATAGCAACGCAATGCGCAGAAACGCCAGGCTTATATAGCAAGCTTTAAGGATTTCTGTTGGGGGTTCCCTACACTCTGAACCCTAGAACCACATGCTGCGTTTTTCGAACCCAAACACGCGACCTTAACCGATAATCTGCCCAAGCCAAGGCCCACATCATCAAATAAGGCATGCATTATTTGCACAAATTAGCCCCCTTACAGATACCCTAAGCCCGAAAGCTCCTATCTCCCACATCAGACAAAAGTGAACCGCGTACCGACATCCCCACCCGGCTCTTCTTCCTGGCTTAACCCGAGATATGAACACGACACACTGCGTTCTTCTTAAGGAACTTGGTCATGCTTTCGTTTTTCCCTGCTTGATTGACTTGACTTTAAGTCAACCCCGAATCAAAGTTAATTGACAGAAATTTCAATTGCCCAAAACCCAGAATATCATAAATCGTCGAATCAGTGGCCCCAGCTGGAAACGATCCTCGGCTGACCGAAGCTGGCATAGATCAATGCAAACTGCTATGTGCAGCTACATAAACTTGACTACGGTATGTGCCCACTGTTCACATGCTTGGCTAACTAGCTTTGTCAGTGCATGCATAATACACACGTATGTCTGTTTGTATGTACGAACAGAAAATTCGCGTACCTACATATATATATATATATATATCTATTAGACTACTATATTATTTTATGTTGTACTATATCATTTCATACAGATGTATGTGTGTATGTATGTATGCATGCATGCTTGACTGTCTGTCTCTCTGTATGTATGTACAAGTATGCATGTATATGTATGCATCAATTGTGTGAGAGCATTGCGTGACAGCGCAACAGCAAGCCTGTCGGAGTAGAGAGAATGCCCGAGCGGTAAAAGCGGAGAAGACAACCAGTTAACCTGCCAGCAGCACTAACAAAAGAAGATACGCTGCCTGGACACAAACTGACTGCTCAGAAGCCTGAAACCCTAAACCCTAAACCCTAAACCCTAAACCCTAAACCCTAAAACACAAAACACAAACTACAACTGCGGACCCCCAGCCTCGAGACCTAGCAAAACAAAACCGTGCCGTAACCCCACAACCCTTCCACCTATCATTCCTACTAGTCCTGCTATCGCTCAAAACCACTGATTTCTGGGATGCCCTAAGCCCTGAATCTTAACCTACAATTCAGCCCTACACAGCCCGAAGAGCCCGAGCCGTTTGACTTCGAAGCCGGGGGTCTCTTTGATGGTCGAGAGACCCTCCACACCGTTTTGCAAGGGCAAAACCTGGGGTAGTTGTCATTATGGCCCGGTTTAGGGTTTAGGGTTTAGGGTTTAGGGAAGGCAAAACCTTGGGTACCCAGACCTTCCAAAATCCCTTAATTAAGGAATATACCTGGTAGGATCCCTAATATGATCTAAGGTATATGATTTTGGAAGATCTGGGTAGTTGTCATTATGGCCGCTTTTTGGGTACCCGAATAGGTGCCGTCTTATCATAAGGACCCAGAAAGGGACCCTAATATTGACAACCACCCACCTCGGTCCACAGCATGTGCTACTTTCTCCGAACTGCAGAGGTTTCTGAACTGGAAGGTAGGCTTAAAGGTTCAGGGTTTGGGGGGTTGGGGCTTGGGGTTTAGCTATAGTCTCCATTGTAGTTCCTTTTTTTGGTTATCCAAGTTTATGGTTAGGACCCTATAATAGAGATTTTGGTTAACCAAAACAAGGAACTACAATGGAGACTACAGGTAGGGTTTCAAGAGTCTTGTGGACATGCCCTTTTTGTGTTGCGGGTGAGAAGATTCAGCTCGGGAGGGACCATTCAACGCATTCGGGTTCATTGAGGCCCTTCAAGGTTACCAACTTCAGGGTTTATGATGGCAAACCCTAGGCTTCAAGTCTTGTAGGATTTAAGCAGTTTAGGGAGTTTGGGTTGCGCAGCATGAGGACACAACCGAGGCTGTTGCTGGATGTGGGAATCACAGGCCGCAAGGAGTTTGGGGATTGGATTTCCGTCGCGGGAAAAGTCCTAAACCCTAAACCCTAAACCCTAAACCCTAAACCCTAAACCCAGGCAGATGAGTCCAAAAGACCTTCTTCCGAAGTTCAAAGTTCGGAGATGCTTGGAGCATTTCGGAGGAAGCGGAAGTTTATGCAGAATTCCCTGTCTCGGGCATATCGACACCCGAAGAATAATTGCGGGATATACTGCAGAGCTCTCGGAAGCTTTGGTGCAATATGCATTCTTGCACAGCATGCAGAACCTCCTCCCCGCATCGCCTTTACTGTGCAAACCAAAATTTCTGGGCGGCGCCATCCTGCAAAAACATGCCCATCCGGAAAAAGAGCGTGAAAGGCTCCCCGACTGGGTCCTTCACCACGAGACCGTTCTGCGGAGAGACTTTTCGCAAAAGGTGCGCTCCAGCATGACTCGCACCAGCTGTCCGATTCCGGCAGTCAGCCACGCGACCCAGATTTTGGGCGATTGGCCAGCACGTTATCAGGGGCCACATCGTCGAGGTACAGCGCGAACTGTCATGCATGGTTGGTCCATGGAGCAAGGCACTTGGGCGTAAGTCGCCTTCGCCAGTGTGAAACTCACATTCCACATCAGCCGTCAAGGATACTGAGACTCTAAAAATCAGGCTCCTATATTGCCCTGCAAGACCGAACTCGTATCGTGATCCCTATCCCGACGCATAAGCACCGAATATTCGGATCCTCCGCTGTAATTACTTTGGGGCATGAGGATTTAGGGCTTCAGGGGTTAGGGTTTAGGGCCTAGGGTTTAGGGAGAGAGGAGTTTTGGGCATGAGAGTGTTACGAAACTTACCTTTGGTTAGTAGGGAATGGAGGAATGGGGTACAATTATAACAACTATTACCGCCATTCTTCCATTCCCTACTAATGAAAGGTAAGATTAAACCAGATTGGACGCGCTGATAGAACCCCGTGAAACCCTTGTAGAACCCTCAGGGCTCTTTTCCGACTGCCGAACAGCTAGAATTCCTTACCAGGCGTGTTTAGGGTTCAAGGTTTAGGGCTCAGGGTTTAAAGTTTTGGTTTCCCTTAAGGCAAATAGTATATACTCTGGGCCCAATGTACCTACATAGGGAGCACTTTAAGGCCAATGTACATATTATATGAGTACATGGGCCCCTAGGGTAAGGGCCTAGCTATCTTGTGAGGATTTCGCAGGGCTGTGACGGATGTATACGAGCTGTGAACGCTGCAACGGTTTGATGAGGTCTTGATATTAATATGGTTGTGCAAATATCTCTTTATGAAGATGCCCGTGTACCTGAACACTTCAAAGCACTCCCCACCAAATCTAGAGTGTGTACCAACCCAACCTCGCAAAACCCCCAGATCTCAATCCATAAACGCTGGCTTGACAGCAACATGCCTAGCCTTTCTCTAAGGTTCTATGAACCCAAACACACTAGTGTATACTTTGGCCGTAAAGTACTCTGTATATAGGTACATTGGGCCCACAGCATATACTATTTGGCTACATTGACCCTTAAATGGTACCCTTAAATAGAACCCTTAATCAAAGGCACCCCATAAAGAAACCTTAAAGTTAAAGCCAGAAAGTTGGAATATGATTATCCTAAACCCTTTACTCTCTCCTTCAATAACCGGGCCCAAAAAAGTTTAAACTTTCTAGGATAGACCAAATATATAAGGCCAAAAAGTTTAAAGTTCCCCCATGGGCTATCTAAGTTTATGGTAAACTATGAGGTATCCTACCCTGAAACCATATTCCAACTTTCTGGAGTTCCCCTTAGGGTTTTACGGACCACATGACAACTTTGGATCCTCTCAGGCGCCTGGGGGGTGCTGCAGTTTTTGGAACCCGATGGGCCTAAACCTCCCAAAATCCCTTAATTAAGGAATATACCTTAAATCATATTAATATTAGGGATCCTACCATGATTTAAGGTATATATTCCTTAATTAAGGGATTTTGGAAGGTCTGGGGCCCTAAACCGTAACACCGCAACTGATGATGGCGGACCAAGCAGGCTTCAGAAGCAAGCTACCTACTGTAGGGACTTAAGAAGCAGGACAGTATTCATCGTTATAGCTTTGTATATATAGGACCTATGATGAAAAGGGCTACTTTCATGAACTAGGCCGACCCTATCGGGGTAGTATCTGCCCACAATGTACGTTGATATACTGCTTGAACCGTCCAACACCCTGAAGGTTTGAAACCCCCGGACAAACACAACGGCGAACCACTAAACGGGCCAAACACACACACACACACACACACACACACAAAAACAAAAAAACAAACTTGCCTGGAATATACAGTGCACCCATCGAACACCGAGCGACGAGAGTGTTAGGACCGCACCTGGCAAAAGAGCTTGAACAAACAACCAAGCCCGGAACCTACGGCTTAGATGTTAGGGGTTCTATGAGAGTTTCGGGTTTGGGGTTTTAAGCGCCCCGGGGAGTTTGTTACGGATTTAGGATTTACGGCTCAAGGGCAATGTAAATTTCGGGCTTCATGTTGAGTGCGCGATGGAATGGTGCCTTAAACTCCGGGTCCGTGGGCTTTCGAGCTTAATTATCAGCTCTTTCTGTCATCTGGTGTTCTTGTCAAACCCTAAACCCTAAACCGTAAAGGGCCACAAAACGTCTGCTAACCGAAGTGGAGAGCTGATTTTACCGCTTCAGGTTTACGGGTTCGGCAAGCAGTGGGATCGGTACCTAAACCAGGTAAAATAATGGCCCAGTGCCAATAAAAGACGATTCTACATACTTTTGGGGTCCAGCTACTGGTAGAAGTCGCAATAACACTTCGCCGCTTGAAGTCTCTGTGCACTTGACTATACCTGGCTGGAAATAGGAATTGGCCATCGGAGGTTTCGCAGAGACGGCTAGGAACCTCCGAAGGAACACAACCCCACAAATCCCAAACTTTATCTCTAGATAATATGTGTATAACCCCTAATTACACCCGAGCGGTCTCCCATGCACCGTTTGTTTCACACCTCTAACGTAAACCCTAGGCCCTAGGCCCCTAATCCCAAAGCCGGCGCTTACAAGACGCCTGTGGAAACCCTCGCAGAATCCCGCTGCAACCACAGAAACACGCACGCCTCGATAGATCCTACTGTAAGCGCGCCAAAATCCATGTTCTAGAACAGTACAGTGTAGGGGCCTTAATTATTAGAATATGGTTTCGGGGATAATATTGCACTATACTTAGATGCAGGAACCCTAAGGAATGATATAGGTAAATGTTTTTTAGGAAAGTCACCCTTGCTGAGAGAACGCCCCATCAAACCCCGTGAAGAAATACAAACAAACGTTCAACAGGAACCAAAACGTATGCAGATAGACACCCTGCAATACATCCAAATCCCTACCAAACTCCAAGGTTTGCGTGTTCAGTGTTTAACGTCTAGTGGTTTAGGGTTCAAACGATGGTTTAGGGTACCCTTACCTGGGACCCCAAAAGTGTGTAGAAGAATCGCTTTCTATGGGTATTGGGCCATTATTTTACCTGCTTTGGGTGGTTTACACTAAGGGTCCATGTACTCATATAGTATATACATTGGCCTTAATGTAGTCCTTATATAGGTACTTTGGGGCCCATGTATCTCTATATTGGTACATGGACCCTTAGGGATTAGGTAGGGTCACAGAAAAGGACTCACCGGGTTCAGGACAAGCGGCCATGGCTCACACATACGAAGGCAGCCCTCCGCTTCCCAGGCCTCTTGAGAAGCCCAGGGGGCTTTGCGGTTTAGGGTCTACCTGTAGCCGAAAGGGCCTACCTTTTCAGGGTTCCTTATTATAGGTTTCTATATATAGTTCCTTAAAAAAGTAGGTCTTTTCGGCTACAGGTAGGGGTTTAGGGTTTAGAATTTTTGGGTCCCCTATTTTCGGAAACTCCCCTTTACGGTCATTTACGTAGAGTTCTACTTGGGATAGGCTTACTTGCGGTTCGCAGGATGCTAAAGCCTCCTCACTCAAGCCGCTCTGCCTTGATACGGTGTAGCCTCCAGGCTCGAAGTTCAGTCTTTGAAGGGCGTTAGGATTTGTTAGCTTCGGTTTTTAAAGGGTTTCAATTTTGAGGGGGCTGGTTTTCGGGTTATTCGGGCAAGTTTATGGGTAGACAACGTTTTCGCGCACCAAAACCCCGGAGTCAAGCACCAAAACCCCTGCTTCAAGCACCAACCTGCTTCAAGCACCAACAAGCCCTGGTTCCGCCACGACCCTAAGCTCCCCCCACCCTCAACCACCCTTCCCTGCACGAAAGTTTCCCTGTCCTGCCTACCCGACCGCACCCTATCCCCCTCCCAACTCACCCTACCCCACCCTAACCTAGCCTGCCCTTCACCACCCTACCTTTCCACACCCTCCGACCACCCTTACCTCCCCTGTGTGCCGCCTTTGACCCCATTCTGCTAACTGACCCTTACCCTCTGCCCTTGCTGCCCTGCCCCACCCTACCCTATAAACCCCTACCTACCTTGTCCAACCCGCCTAGCCCGAAACCCCATCCACCTCCCTTCTCTCCGTAACTGCATCCACCGGCACCAGACCACAAAACCTATCGAACCCCATCACCGCAACTTCTTGCAGCAACCATCCACCCACAGCACCCGAAAAAAACCCACCAACACCCCAACCCCATCTCATCTTCTGCTACCCAAACCTACTGTACCCCACTGTGAAGAACCATACCCTGCCCTACACCGACCCTGGCGTACCGTACCCTCCCCTCCCCTACCCTGCAAAACCCACCCAACCCAACACACGCGCACAACCCCACTTTACCCTACCCCACCCTAACCTACCCTGCCCTAACCAACCCTTTCCTGCCAAACCCTAATTGACCCCGAACCCACCCTAACAAACCACTTATCCTGCCAAACCAACCCCCTGCCCCACCCTAGCCTTTAGGCCCCTAACCCACCCTACCCTAATCGATCCTGCCAAACCCTGCCCTGCCCCTACCCAACCCTTTCCTGCCAATGCTCCACACAACTCCAACCACCCGCACGCACACCCTTCCCTACCCTAAACTTCACCCTACCCCATCCTGACCTACGTCAAATCCTAATTTAACCTACCCTAACCTACCATTACCTCCCCTGCCTGCCTGCCTTTGACCCCATTGCGCGAACTCAACCCACAGCAGCCGCAACCCTACCCTACTCTTCCCCGCAAAACCTACACAACAGGAACCCAACCCTGCCCTACCCTACCCTGCAAAAACCGGCCCAACTCTTCGCCACAAAACCTACAAATTCCAACCCACCAAGCAACTACCCAACCCTACCCTCCCCTACCCTACCACACCCTACCCCAAACTACTCTTCGCCCTAACCAATCCTTGCCTGCACCCTAAACCCCAAACCCGAAACCTATCACCCGAACCTCCCCTGCCTGCCCGAACCTGCCCTCACCTACCCTATCCCTCACCTGACCCTAACCAACCCTTTCCTGCCCTACCACAAAACCTACACAACTCCAACCACCCACAAGCACACTACCCTACCCTCCCCACCCTGACACACCCTGTCCTACCCAATCCAAACCAACCCTCCTAATTTAACCTACCCTAACCTACCCTACCACCGCAAGCAACTACCCTATCCCTCGCCTGACCCCCAACCCCTTTCCTGCCAAACCCGAACTCCCTAGCCAACCCTAACCTACCCCACCCTCCCTGCTCCCCTAACCAACCTACTTGACCCAACCCACTCAAGCTTCCACCATTACCTCCCCTGCCTGCCTGCCCTTGACCCCATTGTGCTAACTTACCCTTACCCTCACCCAACCCACAGCAGCCGCAACCCTACCCTACTCTTCCCCGCAAAACCTACACAACGGGAACCCAACCCTGCCCTACCCTACCCTGCAAAAACCGGCCCAACTCTTCGCCACAAAACCTACAAATTCCAACCCACCAAGCAACTACCCAACCCTACCCTCCCCTACCCTACCACACCCTACCCCAAACTACTCTTCGCCCTAACCAATCCTTGCCTGCACCCTAAACCCCAAACCCGAAACCTATCACCCGAACCTCCCCTGCCTGCCCGAACCTGCCCTCACCTACCCCATCCCGCACCTGACCCTAACCAACCCTTTCCTGCCCTACCACAAAACCTACACAACTCCAACCGCCCACAAGCACACTACCCTACACTCCCCACCTTGACACACCCTGTCCTACCCAATCCAAACCCTCCTAATTTAACCTACCCTAACCTACCCTACCCTACCCTACCACCGCAAGCAACTTCCCTACCCTACCCTCCGCTCCCCTACCCTACCACACCCTACCCTCCCCAAAATACTCTTCACTTAACCCTACCCCACCCTGACCTACCCTGCCCTGCAATCCTTTCCTGCCAAACCCTAAACCTTTTTTCCTGTCCGAACCTACCTTGACCCCATCCTGCCCTACGCTAACCTACCCTATCCCTCGCCTGACCCCCAACCCTGCCAAACCCGAACCCCCTAGCCTACCCTAACCTACCCACCCTCCCTGCCCCAGCCAGCCCCGAACTCCCCTTCCCAACCCTGTCCCACCCTACTTAACCCACCCCATACCCTAACGACTCGTTCCTGCCTTCCCTCTGCCTGACCCAAAACACACTCTGTCGAAAACCAAACCCTGCCCACCCTTCCCACCCACCCCGCACAACCCCACCCTAAACCACCCGCAAGCAACTACCCTACTCTTCACTTCACCCTACCCCACCCTGACCTACCCTGCCCTACCCTACCCTACCCAACCCTTTCCTGCCAAAAACCCTGACCTTCACTATCCTGCCACCCTGACCTTTCTTGCCTGCCCGAACTTGACCCAACCCTGTCCTACCTACCCTACCCTACCGCTCTCTGCAGCAGCAGCCCCCTTGACCCCCTCCTTGCCAACTCAACCCCTGCCCCACCCTACCCTAAAGGGTAGACAACGATTTCGCTAACCAAAACCTCCGCATCAATGCATGGGCACCGTTGCTACATATTGGTGTTTTGTCGTTTGCGGTTTTGCGGCTGCTGCATCACTTTCTCAGGGCAAGGTTGTTGAATGCTTTGTCGTTGGTGCGTGGTGTTGTTTTGGTGCTTGTTGCCGGTGTTGGTGGTGCTGGAAGCGTGGTGCTCGAAGCTTGGTTGCTTGAAGCGCGGCCGGTTGCAGAAGCAGGGAACTATCCAAGTTTATGTGCCTAGGGTTCGTGCTGCGACCATGTTGAACGGGGGTGAGTCGGCCGACTCAAGACACAAACTTAAGCTACCTTACTATACAACAAAATCATAACCCTAAAGCGCATCCAGACCTTAAGCCCAGCATAAACATGAACCCAAACCGGATTCTGAACTTACCCTTGGGCTTGCGTTGTTCATCAGCAAGAAGTGCCGAATCCCAATCCCGAAACCCTAAAGCAACACCCTGAGGCCCTGACTTCAAACCCTCAGTGCTAAATCCCACAGCCCTCTAGAGCCTCTAAGCCTGAACGCCAAACTCCCAAACCCTGAAACCCGACACTTCCCTACACTCTAGACCACAAATCACCCTCAAACCCTAAAGCCCTGGAGTAGGCCCTGCAGCCAAAACCCTATGCTCATTCTCAGAATAGAGCTGAAACATCCCACAACATCGCATCGCAAGGCCTTGCATCCCAGCATAATTACGTCGGCGACGAAACCTTGTCAACTTGGGGATGGGTGGTGGTTTGAAGCTTTAGTGTTTCTGGGTGTAAGGCGGCTGTGTAGCAATAGCCTGAGCCAGACTAAGCTCCCTCGAATCCTGTAAAGACATGTATAGCCGGGCTTCTGACTGAACCACTAGAGGTAATTACTAAACACAGTTGAAGCAATCGCGTTCTTAACCTGGAGGATTCCAGGCGATATGCCAAATGCCCAATAGTTCAGCAACCTCATACTGGAATTAGGGTTTAGGGCAGAATTTGGCAAATTCAAAACCCTCGAAACCACAGCCTCGAACACGGGACCTGGAAACGATACTTTCCTGCAAGTTCTTCCCACACTAAAGACTACCGTCCATGCTACTACCACTACCACTACGACTGCGACGACTACGACTTCTACTACACCTACTACCACTACCGCGACGACGACTACCACTACACCTACTACCACTACCATCACCATAAAATGGCAGTTCAAGCGGCAATACTAAACGACAGTCCACTCTCAGCTCTCAAAGGTCAGAATAACACAGAAGCGCCCTGTGGCCAAAGATCAAACCTCAATCGCATGCCTTCCGAAAGCCCCAGAAACTTTACACTCCGTTGAACCTAAGCCCCTAAACCCTAAATCCGTGCCATTGTGTGAGCTTGTGCCGATGACTTCCCAGACTCTAATCACGCGACGCCAGAAACCTTAAACCCCTAAAGCCTAAACTCTAAACTCTGTTGACCCGAAAAGCAAGCTTCTAGCCCGAAGAAGTGGCTGCAGCCAGCATTGAAGGTCAGGGTTTAGGGTTCAGGTCATGGTCTATAGGGCCTGGCATATCCCACCCTCAGAAGCTAAGCCTGTAAAGTATATGCTTTGGCGGTACACGGGTGTATAGGCACATGTTACAGTTCATCATCTACAGAAGCTCATGATCATTGTTCAAGCTCCTGTCTTAAGGCTTACACCTTGACCCAGACCCCAGGGAGGATCCACAACGTAGATCCCTTTATGGGGGTTCCTATAAAGTACCCTTAATTGCTTTGGGACCCAAATTAGGGGATCTACTTTCTAGATCCTTCCGGAGGTCTGGGAAACTCCAAATCCTGAGATGCTGGGTCTAGAACTCGTGGAAACCGGAAGGCCACTACTTATGAGCTTGGCGGACCTCGAAACCAGAGTACAAGCATGAGGCTCAGATTGTAACTACGATAATCTTGTCCAGGGTACATATAACAAGAAGTAATAAAGTCCCGTGAACTTTGAAGTAGCTTACGTCAGCCAAGGGGCGCTCCTCTTTGTCTAAGTTCTGGGAATCTAAAGTCGGTCCCAGGTCTGCGGCTGGGATCTGAGGGCAGGGATGGGGGTTCAGGGTTGGGTTCAGGGTTTATGGAGCTTTGGGGTTTCAGGGTTCAGAGTTGGGTTTAACTTATAGGGTTTAGGGTTTAGGGTTTAGGGTTTAACGTATAGTGAACCCCAGAAAGTTGGAACATGGATTCAGGACGATTAGTGCTAGGATTCCCTCCACTTTATCTTAAGGGCATGAGGACAACGATGTTCCAACTTTCTGGCTTCTACTATACGTATAGGCATAGGGGTTTAGGGCTTAAGGTTTTAGGGTCGGGTTTAAGGTTTAGCATTTCAAGGGTTCCTTTAATTACAGGGTCTACGGTGGCTCTATAAGAACGTTAGGGTTTGAGCATCGGGGTCTTCATCCCGGGCCAAAGGGTCCATATACAGATACTGCCTAGATGCCATGTAGCTCGCCCATAAGAGGGTTCGAATGAAGTAAACTTCAAAGCTACAGTATGCATTGGATGGGCCGATGGACGTTTAGGGAGTCGATAATATTGCTGTAGTAAAGCAGCCTTCATGTCATGAAGCCTCATAGGTCAGAGGGCATTCTAGGGGGGTCGTAGGAGTTAAAAATAGGGGCTTGAGAATTGCGACAGGGTCTCTTGGATACATTACTACGAAATGCATATATCAATGAATAAACGGCTTGGGGTTTAGGGGCTTACTTTTCCGGTGTTCTAGAATTAGTCCATTGATTGCTTGCTCTATGTTTACGCATGCAGAATTTGTTTTCTTAAGGTTTTCTTTCGGAGCTTGGTCAAGGAATTCATGGTTGTCCTCGGGGCATTTCATGTTCCCAGACCTTCCAAAATCCCTTAATTAAGGAATATACCTTAAATCATATTAGGGATCCTAGTATGATTTAAGGTATATTCCTTAATTAAGGGACTTCATCTATAGTCTCCAGTGTAGTTTCTTTCTTTTTGGCTAACCGAACTCTTGCGTTCCTCGTGGAGTTCGGCATCTTCCGCAAAACGAGCTTTTGCTCATGCTTCCACAACTCAGGGAGAATTGAAATCTTTGACAAAACGCTTGGGGTTTTAGGTCCAGGTTTTTGGACAGTCACGCAGGCCAAACTCCTAACCGCCCCAACCGTAGGGCCCTGAGCCTTGTCTCGCTTCAGAGTTTGGGTCTAAGTTTAGGACATGATACAGGGATACCGTGTGTGGGTCCAGGGTTCGGGGTGCGAGAGGTCAAACTCACAACCTGAACAGAACTGCCGTGTTGGGTGCAGGAGTGCACGACTCTGCAGTGCCGGAGAAAGCTGCAAGATTTGTATGAACCTTTAACCCGAAACACTGAACCGTAAACCCTCTCCTTCTGTCAGGAAGTTAAGGGAATTTGCTGAACACCCAGCCTAAACCGGGCCCCCCAAACCAAATCTTCAAAGCTCCATAAGGTAGCGGCCTGCACATCTCCACAAATGCTGGTAATGCGAACGCCGTGCTCTTTCAGAGCCGCCAACGCCTTGTTTCGAACCTCAAGGCAATTCAAGCAGTCGGCGGAGCCGCCTATACGCCTCAACCCCAAATAAACGGAAACCCGTTGGGGTTTTAGGTGCAGGGCAATCTGGAACCAAGCGTGCAACCAACAGAACTGACCTCGCTACCGAGACCGGTAAGAGCCATGGTCCAAAGTATCTACGGTTTATGGGTCTAGGATGGATAAAGTTCTTCGGTTTAGGACTGCAGAAACTGATTGCGGTATAGACACACACACACACATGCACGCACACCTGCGGCTAGAATTCCCAACGGCTCCAGTTATCTAAATAGTAGGTTACTGGGGTATGTAATATATGGTCTGTAACATACTCTTTAGGCAACAGGGGCCCTGAGGATTGATTCCCTTCCTGCCTAAACCCTAAACCATTTATCGCTATTTCTATTACTATTTCTGCAGCCGGGTCGCGATGTAACTCACCTTCTGTCCGGGCACCTGGCGAGTTCCAAAGCAGGTGGAGTTGGGGAGCCTCATGGGTCGGATCCCAACTAGGGCGGTTTAGGATTTTGGGTTTAGGAATTTGGGTTGTTTGGGAATTTGGGTTGTTTGGGGTTTAGGGTTTTGGAATTTGGGCTGCTTGGGAATTTGGGTTGTTTGGGGTTTAGGGTTTTGGGTTTAGGAATTTGGGTTGTTTGGGAATTAGGGTTGTTTGGGAATTCGGGTTGTTTGGGGTTTAGGAATTTGGGCTGCTTGGGAAACTGGGTTGTTTGGGGTTTAGGGTTTTGGGTTTAGGAATTTGGGTTGTTTGGGAATTCCTTAGGGGAATGAAGAAGCCCGAAATACTCTACTGCTTCCTCCTGGGAAGGAGTGTCCATATGGGAGTTTCCGAACATTTCGGGGTAGCTTGTTTTGGGGTCCGTAGAATAAGGGTCCTACTATTTAGGGTGTTATTTTAGGGTCCCCTATTTTCGGAAACTCCCATATGGGAAGGAGTGTCCATAAGAAGCACTAGATGCTCAGCGTCTGGCACAAAGGAATGTCTACAGAGAATCTGTACAGGTATGGTCTGCCCAGAGGGTCCAAGTACCCTAACAAATAGTAGGGTTTTAAGTCGCAAAATCCATACTATCCGGGTACTTGGAGCATTAAGGGCTTAACTTAATATCGGAGCATCCCAATTATATTCCATAACCCTACGGGTCCATGTACTCATATAGTATATACATTGGCCTTAATGTAGTCCCTATATAGGTACTTTGGGGCTCATGTATCTCTATATGGGTACAAAGACCCGTAGGGTAATACTCTCTCCTTCAATAACCGGGCCCAAAAAAGTTTAAACTTTCTAAGATAGACCAAATATATAAGGCCAAAAAGTTTTGAAGTTCCCCCATGGGCTATCTAAGAATATAATAATATGTGGACCATTTAATATCGGAGCATCCCTTGAATTACCCTGGCCCTCCAGGGACCTTATTATGGGGTCCTTGAGGGGTCTAGGGCCCTAACTATGAGGTCCTTGGAGGGATAGGGTTATGTGGACCATCTACTATCGGAGCCTCTTCTGAATCACCCTGCCGCGCCTGCGCGATGCGCGCTCCGAAGTAGCCACCGACGCCACCACAGCCGAAGATAAGCCTCGAGCTTCATCGGCAAAGAGGGTGGTGGTTAGGGTTTCTAAGGGGTCGTGGGTTAATTTAGGGTTTCGGGTTTAGGGGTTTAGGGTTTATAGGGGTTTAGGGTTTAGGGGTTTCGGGCAAAGTTTAGGGTTTAGGGCTTGGGGTTTAGGGGGCTTAGGGTATATAGGGTTATGCTTCTGTCAGGGCTTCTGGGAGATCACCACCATGAATACCATAATATCGTTGCTCCTAGCTGAAACTTCTGGTTGTCTTATAACCCTTGGCGCCCTTTTGCTTGCTCAGCGGTCCGGGGCATGGGGCAGGGATGGTCTGCTGTGTTGCTTCCTACTTGTCGGGTATCATGGGGAACTAAAGGTTAACCTGTTTGGTTATGTCGGGGTTATATAGGGACTATACTACCCAAAAATGGTTAAAGGTTACCTACTCTACTACTAGGTTGATGATAAAAACCCTGCATTACCCATAGTAAGGAATATACCATTACTCCCATAGTTTAAGGTCCTTAAGGTACTGCAGGATTTATGTCATCAACCGTATCTACTACTAGGGCTTGGGGTATGACCGCTGAATCTCAGGGACTCCTGTGACCCCGAACACGACGTCCGACGTGCTAGCAACGTAGTGCTTTGCGGTATATTACAGTGCAATGAAACCCTAAACCCTAAACCCCTAAACCCTGAAACAAACTAAGCCCTTCATTGAGCTCCTAATCTCGTCATATTTGAAGTTTAGGGCTTAGGGTTTAGGGCAATACCGAGCTAAGCAAATGGCTCTCAAGGGCTTACAGAAACATCGTGCTAAGGCATCTGGAGGTCCGTATGGCGAAGGTCCTAGCTTTTCGAATCCAAGCAGGCCTCCTCGTCTTCTAAGAACCCAGACCTTCCAAAATCCCTTAATTAAGGAATATACCTTAAATCATACTAGGATGCCTAATATGACTTAAGGTATATTCCTTAATTAAGGGATTTTGGAAGGTCTAAGAACTTGCATGAAGAGGTCGGAACAATTAAGCGTGAGGATTTATAAGCAGAAAGAGTAGTACGTGAACGAAGCTTTTGGCATCGAGGGTTTAGGCTGGAGGGTTTGTTTAGTTTTAGGGGTTCAGGGTTTCGGGGTTTGGAGATTTAGGGCTCGGAGGGTTTCGAGGTACAGGGTCTGGGGGTTTTGGGGTCAAAGAGCTGAAGCCAGCACCATACTAAAGCGCTGCAAAGCCTCACGCTACCTGACAGGTCTTAGTAGCAGTAGTAGCAGCGGTAGTAGTAGTCGTCGTGCAACAGGAACAGTGCTCAATACCTGTCAAAATCGTGAGAAAATCGTACCTTATCTCGTCCCACTCCCTGAAGGCTATGTTTTTGTTTTTTGTTGAGCGGTGGTGTCTTTTCTCTTCTGCAACTCGCAGAACAGATACTGTCGATGAAACCATGCCAGCAGCGCCTGCCAACCGTATAAGAGTCGAAAGAGCATTGGTGAGACAGGTAAGGGTTGATGTAGCTGCAGCTGCAAAAATGGCAGTTGTCATTGTTCTGTAGTTCTTATTCTAGACACGACTCTAGCATGATCATGATCTTGGGTCTCTGAACGGCATCGCCGGCACCATCACCATGGTCGTCATCATCATCATCATCATAATCATCGTCATCATCATCAACGTCATCGTCATCATCATCAACAACATTATATATCAGCAACGGATCATAACGATGCCTGTCGCAATCAACAGACAGATGCGGACCATCAGATTTCAACGCCACCAGGCATACCCGAAGCCCTTGCAGCAAACCCGTCCCCGCCCGGAAACCCTTAAACCCTTATACCTCCATGTGGGTAAGAAAGACCGTAATTACATCACGCTCGAAGATCCCGACTTAAAACCGAAATCCAAGACTCTAATCCCCCAGGCCTGAATCCCAATCCCGAAGCAGCCTAAGCCGTAATCCAAAAGCACTACCTGTAGTATGTAATTGTAGTCCCTTTTTGGGGGTTACCTTGTAGGATCCTTAATATATACTTGGTTCAACCAAAAAAGGAACTACAATGGAGACCATAGGTAACCCTAAACTCTAAACCAAGGGTCCACTTCATTGCCGGCAACTCCGATGCCATGGCTCGAACTCGACGTAAAGAGCAAAAAGCCCCCGGCTCGTGCCCAAACAGCTACGTATTCGACACAGTTGCTTTTACGGCTTCGTTCTGGGCCTTGAAATCTCTTGAAGTTTTGATTTCGGATCTTACCCTATCCCTCCAAGGACCTCATAGTTAGGGCCCTAGACCCCTTAAGGACCCCATAATGAGGTCCCTGGACGGCTAGGGTTAGGGTTTAGGTTTTAGGGTTTCGGGGTCGGAAGAAATTCAGAGTGGGACTCAGGGCTTCAGGGTCTCGAGTTTTCGGGATTTTAGGGCAACCAAGACCCTTTGTCCGGTGTCATACCAGATGCCCCCAGACTGCGCGAGAGGCTACCTATGGTCTCCATTGTAGTTCCTTTTTTTTGATTAACCAAAACCTCTATTATAGGGTCCTACCCATAAAATTGGATAACCAAAAAAAGAAACTACAATGGAGACTATAGGTACTCCTGAAGCTAGGAAGCCGGCGCAATGACTGCATACATCCGGCGATCAAAGTCAAGACAAGCACAGTCAAAGACACTGGGCCCTAAGGCTCCATGTACCCATAGAGTAGGTACTTAGGCCTTAAAGGGGTCTCTATATGGTTACTTTAAGGCCTAAGTACCTACTCTATGGGTACGTGGAGCCTTTGGGGGTGGGTTCCTGCAGTATGAACCGAACCGCACGAAGATGATAGCTTGTTATATATGGCTCAAGATGCACACGCAAAGTCGAGCAGGCAACACCGCAATGGCCTGTCAGATAGTTCCGGAAGAAGGCCATTGACACCAGCACCTTATGAAATTTTGCGAGATCTGAGGATCGGAGCTTCGGGTCCGGCTCAAGGCAAAATGGGTTGGGAGGTTTAGATTAGAGATTCAGAGATCAAGTGTTGTAGAGTTTCTGATGCTGATAAAGTGCTGTAAAGTTTCTTGGGCATAGAAGTGCCCGTCATGCTTCAAGACTTTTGCAATGTTATAAGGCTAAACAAATAAACTCTGAAACTTGTTGAACGCACAAATGCTCTACCGTCACCACGGCCCTAAGTAAGGATGCCCTCTGCGGGAACTCTGCACAGATGAGCCAGCCACAACCTGTCAGTCTTATATGCCCTAGCAAGGGTTTGGGGTCCAGGTATCGCAGTGCCTCGCAGTGTTTTCAATTCCAAAAGGTGGGGATTTGGTAGCCAGATATTGCTACCTTACCCTAGACCCGAAAGAAAACCCACAACGCCCTAAATAGTCTTGCCATTTCCGGAGCTCCATGAGACTGTAAGGCCCTGAGATACTGCAGAGGGATGGAAATTTGGCGCTGTCAAGCTATGGAACAGGCCCCGCGGGTGTTTAGGAGTTGGGGCTTGACTAAGTGGAGGTTGAGATGCGTTGCGGCCGGGGTTACGTGTATCAGCAAAACTTGATGCATCAATCGTGTCCGAACATGGCCGAACTTCTGCTAGGAATCGAAACTCAACGGCATGTTTCTCCGTCGAATCAGCACCGATAGCAGTATCCTGTGGGCATAAGCAAAACTGCCAGCACAGTCCTGTCAAGCAAAGGCTTGCGGCATAAGCCAAAAAACAGTGCAAATGTGCCAGTCCGGCACCCCCCAGCAGGCCTGTGCATCGGGCCCGCTGTCACCATCCTAAATCTAAATGCTAAGTTGCCTTTCAAAGCCGGCTGTGCCAATCATTCCCTCATTCGAGGTTTTGGCAAGAAAAGGGCTTAGGCCCAAGCTGCCCGAAGCTCCTTTTCCACGGCAAACGCCGGTAGGTGCACGACCGATACCCGAGCTAAACAAACGGCCACTGCACACCACCTGTAGGCAAGCTTGTGTGGGTCAGGACAGACCCTTATAAACTCCTGACGTAGACTCGTTCTCGCGAACGCTTATGCTTGCAAAAACCATGTAATACAACGCATCTAGGAACTCGTTTGCAATGCTACGACACCCGTATAGAAACCCTTCAATGGATCCTAACAGAAACCCTCATGAACACCCTACTAGTAAACCCTAAACCCCAAACCCCTATAAACCTTCACACACAACCCTAGCTAATAGGAAGCCTACACTTCCCCTCGCTCACATCACCACCTGCTCTGGAGAAGAGTGTTCGCCTCTGGTAGGTGGCCGATCCGTGACGAGCACCCGTATCTCTGCTGAGATGCGTTCAACGTCGGGTTCGTCGTTGAGCCACACTGCGCCTGGGCCGTTCTTGCATTAAAGTTTCTGGAAACCCTGTGAAAACTGAAGTGTCCATGTTTCTACTATATCTACAAAATAGACTTGTTAAGCTAGCAATCGTGTTCCAGAAGAGCAAAGGGGAAAGGAGGGACCCTTCTATATTAAGGGTATATACCCAGGGGTCCTTATTAAGTAGTAAGGGTCCCTCCTTTTACCCTTCTAGGATACCCAGTAACCTAAGAATAAAAAGGCCTCTCTTTTTGGCATTGGGTAACTTTATATGCCAGCGAATTCTCAACCCCCCCACCCCCGGCAAAAGCAATTTAAAGAGGCTTTGTAAACAGTTCTCGACTCCCCTAATCGAGCCAGGATTTTTTGGAGGGAACCTGTTTTTAAAAACTAAAGAATTTTATTAAAAACCGAAAAAGATTTTAATAAAACCTGTTTGTAGTCATATTTCCTCAAGAAGCGAATTTTTATTAAAAGCCCAAAAGATTTTAAAGCCGCTGCGAATTCAAAGGTTCTTCAATGAAAAGTCTACCCATTACCCAGAAACTTGGGCGATCTTTTAAAACCTTAGGGTGGGGGTGGGGGGTGTAGGTTGGCCGATGATTATAAGGAACCTAGGACTACAAAAAGGGAATGAGGACACTAGTGGGCATCCTAGCCTTGGAGAAGAGCCAGGGCACCGTGAGGAGTTCGATCTGAGAACCACAGCAGGGCCTCTCCGAATCTCATGGTCGGTGCCTAAACCCTAAACCCCTAAACCCTAAACCCCTAAACCCCTAAACCCTAAATGCACCCCTAAACCCGTAGACCCTGAACCCCTAAACCCTAAACCCGTAGACCCCTAGACCCTCAACCCCTAAACCATCCTAAAACCCAAAACAAAAAACCCAGGGCCTCTCCAAAGCTCATGTTCGGTGCCATGCCCCACAAGGCATAATCGGAGTCTGCCACGCTCGAGCGCAGCACGGTAATCGTATCGTTGAAGTTCCTGGGTTTCGGGGTTTGGGTGTTTAGGGTTTAGGGTGTAGGGTTTGGTGGTTTAGGGGTTAGCGTTGAGGGGTTTAGGGTTTTGGAGGCCTTTCGCACGCTGAGTAGGTAGAACATAGGAACCATAAAGGGGAAATAAAAGGTTTCCCAAAGTGCCGCCCAGGTTCTTGATATGGGTGTGCATTGTGGATACCATGCTTACATCGGGAGGCGCCGAGAAAGCCTTCTGACCCTTCTCGTTGTTGAGCAGAAAGACACAAGGATGTTGCTTGAGGATGCCTGGAGTCAAGGCTCACTAAGCCCTAAACCCCGAAACCCCTAACCCCTACTCCTTAAGTCCCTGAACCCTACACCCCGAATCCCTATACCCGATCCCTAAGGGTCCATGCACCCAAAGACAAGATACTTTGGCCTTAATGTAGTCCCTATATACTATATAGGTACTTTGGGGCTCATGTATCTCTATATGGGTACATGGACCCTTAGGGGATGTTTGGGGATGCCTGGTGTCAAGGAGACCCACAGGTTTACGACACCTGGATCTTGGCCTTGCGCGATCCTCACGTAGTCTTCGAAACCGTACCCCCTGTCCATGAAGTCTTGCTGTGAGAAGGGCCAATTCTCATGGACCGTCGCCCTGATAGCCTCCTTTGGGCTTTTATAAGTAGCCAGGGAGAAAGAAGTATAAACTTGTATTTCATAGTGGTTCGTCCCTTTTCCTTTACGAAAAAGTATTAAAGTATGGTACTTCGAGGCCAGTCCTCCGTTGTGGACGTCTCCGTAAGACGTGCGATACCACTCCAAAGCTTGTCCACGTGAACCACATGGTGAGCATTACGCAAGGGGGAGCTCCCTGTGGGGTTTAGGGTTTAGGGTTTAGGGTTTGGGGTTTAGGGTTTAGGGTTTAGGGCACCGTGGCTTCACCGTAGATGGCTCCGCCAGAGACGCGTGATGTGTCGGCGAGGTGAATGATTTCTTTGTTAAACCTCTGCTCGAGGAAGCTGAGCATGGCTTCACCTGGATGCGGGGACACGCGACAATTACATCGACACATTGAAAAAGTAGTGTAGGGAGCTTCATCATTAATTTGATAACTGCTGATTATTACGACCCCAATTGTCCCAGCCTACCGCCATGCGGGTCTCGTGGTTGGCAACGGAGGCGGTTTCTGGGCTAACGCCGGCTTCCTTCAGAAAATCGGCGATGTTACACAACCTCCACTCCGTCGGTTCGCAGCGTCGCGCTGGGCGGGATTGGAACAACGTTCAGCTGGACCTGGTTCAGGGTTTAGGGTTTCAGTGTTTAGGGCTTAATGCTTTTGGGGTTTATAAGGTTTTAGGCATTGAGATTAGGGTTCTGGGTTTCAGGGTCTACGGAGGGGTTTAGCTTCAGGTCGTGCAAAGATGCGTTTGCGACTGGTAAACCGACGTAGCCAAACCCAAGGCCCTTGACTGTAAACCCTTATTCGTCAAGAATCTCGATGCGACTTGTCAACTCTCGCGACCTGAAACTTATCCTCATACGACTCGAACCCCTCAACCCCAATTTAAAGGCCTAAGGCCCCCGAAGAAGTGAACCTTGCGCCCTAATGTAGGAACCTGATTAAGAAACCTTGGGCCCTTATCAGGGTTCCTTATATGAACCCTACTATATTGGGGTTAAAGGCCCAGGGTTTCTTAATCAGGTTCCTACATTAAACGCTTTAACCTGAACAGGACGGTCCCACCCATATCCGTGCCATCTCCCTCTCTGTGTAGCACGGCTTGCCGCTTATTTGGAATGCGGTCACACAGTTTAGGGTTTAGGGTTTAGAGACGCAAAGGGTGAGGGGACTTTTTGGGTTAAGGGTTTTTGGGTTTTGGGGTTAAGCGCTTAGGGCAAAGTTTGGGGCAGGGTTTGTGAATATTGAGTTGCAAGCAGGTACCCGGGAAAGAGTATCCAACTTATACTATCTTGGCACCTACTTACAAGAAGTCCCCTGATCCTGTGACTAGTTTCGGGTTGCATCCTGCCTGCGTCAAGCTGTCCGGATTCACTGCGAAACCTTGCCGCTGGCCCTGACTAATGGAGTCTCCCAGGTCGCCAAAGGGACCATCTGCTTTCCTTATCGAGGGTTTTCAGGATTTGGGGTTTAGGATTTAGGGTTTAGGGTTTTTCCCAGCTGTTGACACAAGGCTTTCTCGGGTTGGGCGGCCATCCTTCATATACTGGGTCTTACCGATGCGGCTTATGGCGCTCACAGTCAGGTGGAAGCAACTTGAACAGCAAGGAAGGAATCATCAACGAGAAAAAACTTGTTCCCAAGCCATGCCGAGCTCAAAAACTGGGCTGTTGCTGCAAAACCCGGCTTCTGGACTCCGCCGCGGGACCTGGCAAGCTCTTGCCAGGTGCGGGCTGCAAGTTCGAGCAATATACTGTACAAAGAACCATACTTCTAACCCCACAAGCCCCGTGACCCATACGGTGTGTTACTGTTCCGCAAACCTTCAAAAAGAAAATGGACTTGTAGCGAAACGTTTCGAAAACAGGCCCATCAACCCCCAAGTAGGGTAATCTTTAGCTGAGCGGCAGCTGGAACACAGACGAACAGAGCAGCACCAGAACGAAAGCACATCTTGCCTGTCGGTCCCAGATGTAGGGCTTATACCGGGATCAGGTTTACCTTAACCCTGAATAACCTACCTTTTTTGAACTCTTTATTATGAAATTCCTTATACAAGTTTTTAACAAGATAGGCTATTCAGGGTTGTTAAGGTAGGGTTGAATTATTAATTGGGGCTCCGGGAAGGAAGGATTGACGGAAGCAGGAAAGGCAGGAAGGAAGAACAAATAATCCTTGTATGGGTTTCCTGTTAATACCAGGAAACAAAATCAGCGCAAACCACAATCCTAACGTTGACCAAGTTTCCGTCATAGCAAAGCCGAAGCTTCTCGCGGGATTGTCCGGAAGCTATCCGCTCGCTCGGGCATAACTCGACGGATGAGAACTTCCGTTAGCAAGAGTACACTAGGGGCTGGCCACAGCGTCGTAAGCAACCCTGAGCAATAATATATGTATGCGTATATGTATATATATATATATATATGTATATATGTATATACATATATATATATATATATATATATATAGCTATGTATGTATATATACATAGGAAGATTTTTCTAGACCCCTATACTATCGCGCAAAAAAAGATCAGCAGCATTTACAAACACTGCTGCAACAATCATGAATCATGCCAGCGATAATCACCACACTGTATGGCGCGAAAGCACATGTGGTCTCTCAGAGACCAACCCTGTTCGTAGCTTCTTACATGGCCTGGAACCTGCATCTACCCTCGACTCTACTGCTCTTGGACCCTGAATCTTACCTTTGGTTAGAAGGGAATGGAAGAATGGTAGTAATGCTTGTACCCCATTCCTCCATTCCCTACTTACCAAAGGTAAATACGTGACCAGGAGGATCCTCGGGGGTTGCAGAAACCCTGTGCAGGTCGACAAAAGCCCTTCGACCACAAGAGCGTAAGTGGTGGTACCGGGAAGGATCGTAGAGGGGGCCTTTAGCAAACCAGAACTCTGAGTATATTACAGAGGGACTACAAGGGAAGACTACTGCTGTCTACTAGTGCAATTTTTTGCGGGTGGTTGTAGTGTTGGTGGTGGTGGTGGCTGCGGCGGCAGTGTGCCACTCGTCGCTGCCTCCCTGGATGAAAATTTGTCCTTTGCGAAATCAGGCAAGACTGACATACAAAGAAGCGGTCACGAATACCTTGTACAGAATATTTTCGATTCCTGTAGAGCCCCGAAACGGCGAAAACAACGGAACCAGAAAAGAAGCACCAGACCCCGGAATGCAAAGTTGTGGGCTCCCTGAATGATCAAAGGCACGGGACTTAGACGCCCCGTGGTGCTAAGAAATCCACCAACTGTATCCTACTTGTCGGGTATCATGGGGAACTAAAGGTTAACCTTTTTGGTTATGTAGGGGTTATATAGGGACTATACTACCCAAAAGGTTAAACGTTGCCTCCTCTACTACTGGGGTATCTGATTTTGACAAACAAAAACGCTTGAAGCCGGGAGGCAGTAAACACCATGACTTGATGCATCCTTGCAGCAGCATGGGAGTGGAAGGTTTACAAACCCTGTCCTGAACCCTAGGATTATAAGAACTTCGCCTCTTGCGCAACCGCTACACCTTAAACCTTATGTCCTAACCCCCAAGTCCTGAATGAGCCTGCATCCAACTTCTGAACCCTACCCTCTTTCTCGAGGGACATCCGGTCCGGTCTCCCTATGAGTACGTACACCTAAACCCTAAACCCTATAAACCTTAAACCCTAAACCCTAAACCTTAAACCCTAAACCCTAAACCTACTACAAGTAGCTCAACCATCTTCGAGTCAGGGTCCCAGCTAGATCCTGTCCCAAGCCCTCCTCCCCAAAGGCTGGGATTCACAGGTGTGCTTTCGGCTGTAGGGTTGTTCGTGAAGAAGCCGGCTCTACCAGAGGAGCCTACCACCCTAGAACCCGAGAGTACCCTAGCGCAAAAAAAAGGTTATATAACCTTTTCAATATCTATGGTAGGATTATATAAACCCCCAAAAGTTACAAGGTTACTATAAACTCCCAAAAATTACAAGGTCACTATAAACCCCCCAAAAGTTCCAAGGTTACATACTCCGCTACGAAGACTTCGGATGACCGGTTCCAGTGCTAGGCTCTCGGGTTTATCAGGAGCTCTGGTGTTGACAGGGCTTGGGGGGACTTTCGGGCTAGGTTTAGGAGTTTAGGGTTTCGGAATTTGGGTTGTTTCGGGTTTATAATAGGGTTTAGGGTTTAGGGTTTTGGGTTTAGGGTTTTGGGTTTTGGGGTTTGGGGTTTTGGGTTTAGGGGTTTGGGTTTAGGAATTTGGGTTCGGGTTTAGGGTTTTGGGTTTAGGGTTTTTTTTTTTTTTAAGCACCTTTTTCCTCCTGCAGAGTCTGTCGAAGGAAGCCTTGTCTTGAAGGCAGGCTTGGATGGCCCTGCAGCTTACGTGGCAGTTCCATCAACCCAAAAAACCTGTGCACATACGCATAGTCGTTCATGCCCTTCACGGTGTATCAGAACGGTCGTCATTCTTGTAATCCCCCCCCATCGTCCGAGTCGACAATCCCCTCAAAAGCCCTCATAAGCATGGCTTCTTCCGTTGAAAGCTGTGGTGGTTCGCAGTGTTCTTCACCGTCTGTAACAGGAGACACGGGGACATCACCTGGAGGTAGTACGGCAGGACCTGTCGGAAGAGTAGCAGCCTCAGGTGGGATCGGAGCTACAGCAGCTACCTCGTTCGGCATGAAGTCCATCTGGGTGTCCTCAAAGTCAAGGGCCCTCTGTGCTTGCATGAGATCAAGTAGAGCTTCGCCCCCCACATCTTTGACGTGGTCGTCAGTGAGTCTCCCTGCTTTCCAACCCGCATACAGCTTCTCATAGTCAGTGAATTCCAACCCTTGTAGCTGTTCTTGACTGTCTGCAGCACTCACTTGCGTCATTGCAGTGGCATCATAAGGCAGCGTGTCCGCATTGTCCATGGTCGACTTGTGGGGGTCCACGGGGTTGCCAGCGGCCAAGGGAGAGCCAACGCCAGGCTCAAGCACCACAGTTTCCACATCATCAGGGCATTCCTCGTTGACCACTGCCAAGTCCACCACAACTCGGCTCGTTTCTCCATCTCGTGGAAGAGGAAGACGCATGCTCCGAGACAGCCAACCACCCTGAGGGGATAGGCGTCCACTCACGGTCACGGCCAGGGTCTTTCGCATGCGTTTGGGAGCATTCTCGGTCATGATGTCATACCATTGCCAATCCTCCCATGCTTTGAACTCAGCTGCCGTGAGCCGTCGGTTGTTCGTATTCTCTGTCACCTTGGTGGGTGCGTCAAGCAGGCCCTCTTGGTATTCAAGGTACTCAGCTTCCCTCGTTTCATGTTCTACTTGTTCACGCAGTTCCCGATCTCGTCGCTCAGCTTGCCCCGCGCGCATCTCCTGCTCATCTTCCAGGAGCTCGTCAAGCGTAGGGGCATGGCCTGCGGCATCAAAGTGCACCGCATCGGTTGAGCTTGCCGGCCTGTTGCTCATATCAGGGCCAGGGAAGAGGAAGGACCACCATTTGACTTGCCAGCACACATCACCAACACCCCCGGGTCCATCTTCACCGTCTGACATTGCAATGAGCACAGCAACAAGTTGGTCTCTTTGTGCTTGGGGAACTCCTGCATCCCTGTCCAGTCTGCTACGAAGCCCTTCCACATTTGCTCGTCGAGTCGTCACGTCCATGCGGTCCAGCGCCACTTGCAAGCCCTGGAGTGCTTGGTGCCAGGTTCCGCTAGAAGTTGGTGCGGGCTGTTGACGGAGCATGGAAGTCACCGAGCGTTGCATATACGAGGACGTGTCAGGTTCCCCAGCTGGGTCCACAGGGACGTCCACCAGAACTTCCTCTGAAACTCTGGCCTCGGCGATTCGGACACCTCTCTCAAAGGCCATGGAGACCTCCGCCATGAGCATACGGAGAAAGCGTAGGAAGGCGACTGTCATAATCGCTCGGTCATTATCGTCATAGTGCCCCACAGTCTCTTCAATCATGTTCGAGCAATGCACAGGAAGAAGAGGTCGGCCATCACCAACCACTGGGATATCCTGCTCGAAGTTCTCCACATCGAGCCCAAGCAGGAATCTCCAGGCATCCACCCCTTCAGCTTCACTCAACCTATCTGTGTCCCCATTGTGAGTGGTACCATTGTTCTCCGTGCTCGGGGGAGGCGGTCCCCCTTCTGCGCTGGCCGATCCCCTGCGAGTAGAGCGACTGTCCGTAATCAGTCGCCTTGTGGTCGTAGTGGTACGGCATAGAGGTGGCCTCGAAGATGCAGTGGTCGATGTTCCCCTCGTTGGCTCCTTCGATCTTCGGCGGGCATTTCTGGTACTTCGTGATCTCGTCTGTCGAAGCCATTTGGGGTTGACTTCTCTTCCTTTCCACGGGCGATCATCACGATGGTCATCATCCCTGCCCCGGTGTGAGCGGCCGGTATCCATGAGCGTGACGACCTCGCCCTCTTCCAAAGTAGCCCCTGAACCCTGAGCGTCACTTCGGGATTTTCGCAAGCCCAGCCGTTTCCTCATGTCTCCCCTTTGTGGCGTCCGGGATCTTGACAGTCGGGACCGCTCGGCTTCGCTGTCCTCTTCCTCATAGAGCGTAGCACAGCATAGAGGATCAGGGTATTCATCTTCCTCCATGCTTGCTTCAAGGTTCCTGTTGCGGACCGCGGTGGGGCAGATCATCCAGAACCAGTGGCGTCGCACTGCTGCAATGGTGTCTCGGACCCAGCTGTCCATTTCCACCACCGCCGGGGGTGCAAAGGGGCGTGGTGGCGCCCACGGATGCCCTCCTCTGCCTTGGCGATGTCTGTCCATGGCCCGGGCTATACCCCCGAGGTAGAAGCCGGCCTCCGTGGTGAACCTATCATCCTGGTAGTCCAGCATAGCCTTCCAGAGTGCTCTGTCAAGGTCCCCATCGTTGTACCCCCGGTTCATGAGTTCACAACCTCGTTCGATGGCATTCGTGTACCAGTGGGGCCCATGTCCCGGATAGAATGGTTCGTCAAAGGATGTCCCCTGCCTCACTGTCTGTGCCACCAATAGGAAGCGCAGAGAGAACAGTGAGCTCCCATCGTCCTCCCCGTCGTCGACCTCAGTGCTGCCTCTCGCCCTGCGAGATCGCGATCTGTCGCCACGTTCGGAGGCTGGACCGGCTCTCAGAGGCGAGTGATCAACCATCGAGTGGCAATGGTGTTGCCACAGTCCCATGAGGACCCACTGCACCCAAAGTCTACCTTCAGGATGGCATGTGGTCCGATCACCGATCGCCGGTAGCCGTGGGTGCATGTCGCCCAGCTGTGCAACAACGTAGGAGGCAAAAGCGTAGTTGCCCCGAGTCGCAAGCTGGTGGTGTAGTTCCGCACGTAGGCCCGGCAGTTCGTTCCGGGTTTCCAGGTTCACGAAGGTCTCGGCGATCTCCTGTCGGAGTGCGGCAAGCTGCCGTCTGGTGTCCCTGCCCCCCTCTTCAACGGAAGAAAGCTCCAAGCTAGGGCACTCCTGTAACACCTGTTGGAAGTCCTGGAAGCAGGCTTGTTCAATTTCACGCACCAATTCAAGCTCCTCCCGGGACAGGGGCTCACATAAGTCTGCTCGCCCCTCATGTGCAAAGCGGTCCCGGAGCCATTGGAGGTAGACCTGCCTGAAGACCTCGTACCGGCCATCTCTTCGAGCAATTATCTGCGCCACCAGCCTGGCCCAGACGTTGCCACGACCCCGTCCGGCACGTCGAAGGACTTCGAGTCGTTGCATCGCGGATCTTGACCACGAGCATCTCGACGTTTCAGCAAGGCTCCGCATTGCCCTCACCGACCTGGTCATGGTTCGGGTTCATGCCCACGACCTTCCAGCAGTTGCAAGATGTCCCTATACACCTGTGGGTCCAAGCCGACCTGGTCCTCGGAGTTGTCGTGGTTGCCTAAGGTCTGCATGAGGCTCGTGAGGTCAGTCTGCTCCTCCTCCCCTTTTTTGCGTGGGTGCATGCAGTCGCACATCCCCGCTGGTTGCTCATCACGCCAAGCTGGGATCACATTGTACTTGCGCTGGATCAGGTAGCCGGGCATCTCCAGGAGGTACCGCTCCCGCACAGCTTGTGCGTCTTCTGCATGATCGGCTGCTCCGGCTCGTACGGGGTTCCAGTTTCGCTTAGTTGGGATCACATTGTACTCGCGCTGGATCGTGTGGCCGGGCATCCCCAGGAGGTACAGCTCCCGCACAGCTCGTGCGTCTTCAGCTTGATCGTCTGCTCCGGCTCGTACGGGGTTCCAGCTCCCACCGTGCACCTGGTCATCAGGCGGGCAAGACTGCAAAATGCAGTCAGACGACATATCAGCCAAGGCCACTCCCTTAAGGAGTCCATGACTAAGCAATGCCCAGAGGGCGAAATACGGATACATGTAACGGCTCATTTCGAGCTGTGGCGAAGCTTAGTGGAGTCTACTCTGCCCTCGCTGAAAATCCGGCCACGAATGCAGCAGTCACCAAACAGCGGAGCAGGACAGCCAGGAAGCCTCAACAATCGACATCTCAATATCAACAAGTGAGTAAAACCGCAAGGTTTCCAAAGTTTCATGGATGCCTTGGGTGGAAAGCCCTAAAATTCAATGGATGATTGACGCCCCGAGGCCCACGGTAGATCCCTTTGTTGAAGCCAAAAGGATTCCCTCTCCTTCCACTTCACTCGATGTGGAAGCTTCAGAAGCAACTTCAGTGGGAGAAGTCGCAGGAGGCACCTCTTTGACCTGAGATGTGGCGTCGAAAGTATCGTTAGGGTCAGTAACAGCGGGTGGAGGCGTGCTTGAAATCGGTGGAAGAGTTGCAGGAGCAGGGCAACGAGGATCTGGATGACGTAACTCAGATGTGGATGGGACTGAATCTTGAGCAACAGTTTGACCGACGTTCGAAACGCTCTCAGCCGGTGTGATCTCAAGGGCAGGTGGAGATTGATCCTGTTCAACAGCCGGAACGGCAAGATGAACCAAGGCGAGATTCCACTGCTCTCGACGAGACTCATTGAGTTCCCGAATGAAGACTTTGAAAAATCCCGTAGTAATCACTGAAAGCACAAGGCATGAAACGTACGACCTCATGGACGTCGTGAGAATAGCAGTGACAGCCAAAAGAAACGCCGGAACGTATAGCAAAACATTTCCGACAGTGATAGCAAGACTCTCAGACCACACATCCGTATCGCTAACTGGACGAGATGACAATGATGAAGCCTTCAGAATGACCACCAAAAGTGAAGTAACGACGTGTACTGAGAGAAAAACAATCAACGTTGACCAGGAGATAGGCTCTGAAAAAACACAAGCATGTGGGTCAGCGACAAATGAAAGACCAAACGCAAAGCAGTACAGAACCGAGAATAAGACCGTAGTGGTAGGCTGTGTTTTTACAGAGAAAGCCAGAGGCGGTTGCATCTCAGAAGGAAAATCTTCAACTGACACAGTTGATGCCCATGGTGGCGACGGCGTGGTTGGACCTGAATCAGGTCCAGAAGAAAAGTCGTCACTGATCCGCTTCGAGCCATTTGCATCAATAGAGGGGGTTGGGCGCGTAGAGGAGTGGTTGTTAAGGTCAGTAAGCGAATTGAGGTCGTCGGTCCATGACTCAGAATAGAATGAGGATTCCGACCAGGTGACACGAGTAGTCGAAGAAGACGTCGTCATCCGATCCTGAACGAAGGCCTCATCAGGCAAATCGCTGAAAGACTCCTCGACAGCCAGCATGGTAAGGGCGGAAGGCTCGGAAGATGTGGAAGGGTCATGACGCGGCAGCGCTGAAGAAGGCTCAACATCGTCAATGGAAACGAATTGGACAGAAAGATCCATTGGCAAAGAGTCATGGCTCACAAGCTGAAACAACCCCTCCAAAGGCTCAAATGTAAGAGCGGAATCGTCAACCAGACCAGCGTGATCGAACTCCTCAATAACGGTTAGCGCCTCACCCTGAACAACCGACAATTGGTCAGGATCGACAATTGAGCCAGGAGCCTGCGCACGTCCAACGACCAGCCCTGTGGATTGAAGTGCTGCCTTCGCCTCAGTAAAAACCCCAGTGCAGACCTCCCGCAGCTCGAAGGTAGAAATGCCGATGGCATTTCGCAAGCATGAGGAGAACTGTCGACGGCAATGACGCGTTCCACAGGTCAATGAACAAGGTAAAGGCTGACCAACATCATGAAGAATCTGAGGCGTCTTGGCAGAGATGAGGTCGTACAACGCCACAATGGCGACTTCACAAATCCCTGTCACGTGTGCATGGACGAGCTGAAGGCGCAAAACAGACTCGTAAGCCCAAAGGCAAAGCGTCGCAACTTCAGGCGACATAACATTGTGAGCACGAGTCTTGAGCAAGGTCAGAACCGACACAAAGTGCATGACAGCATCATCACTGCAATTGTGGTCGACCATATCCGAAGCGTAGGAGTGGGCCGCCTCCAGAAGTTCAGACTTCAAATGGGAGTCTTCGACGTAGTCGAAGAGGTCCGCCATAGTACTTGTGACAGAGAAGCCAGTAAGAGCTCTGCAAGAGCACATCAGCAGAATCACAGTCGGCGTACGAAGAGCAGCCATGAGGACGCTATGCGTAGCAGAGTGTGGTTCCAATGGTGGGAGCTGAAGAACTCAGTACGGCTTGAGCCAAGGGTTTTGGGGTTAGGGTTTAGGGTTTTGGGGTTTTGGGTTTAGGGCTTTGGAGATCCCGCTTCCTTCGGGCTGACACGGAATCCTAGTGTAGACGCCCTGGTGTTAAACAGGGGCTGACATGGAATCCTAGCCTCCGCGAGGCCCCCCGATCTTAAACAGATAGCAGCCGTAGCCAGACCTTCCAAAATCCCTTAATCAAGGAATATACCTTAAATTATAATAGGATCCTTAATATGATTTAAGGAATATACCTTAAATCATAGTAGGATCCCTAATATGAATTAAGGCATATTCCTTAATTAAGGGATGTTGGAAGGTCTGGGTAGCCTACAAGAGCCCCTACGTTGAGAGTTCACACTCTGACCCCAGTGCGCCTCCGCACAAAGACCTACCCAAACGCCCCATGTACCTTTATAGTACATACTTAAGCCTTAAAGGGGTCCCTATATAGGTACTTTAAGGCCTAAGTATATACTATAAGGGTACATGGAGCCTTAGGGCTATAGAATCTGCACATGCGGTTGTTGGGACTCACATAGTATACCTTCCATGCAATGCTTTGAAAGAAGCTTTTGGCACATGAGCCCTTTGGGTAATGCATGTCGTCCATTATAGGATCCTGAAGACAAAGCTGGCTAACCAGAAAAAGGAACCCTAAACCCTAAACCCTAAACCCTATACCCTAAACCCTATACCCTATACATGTAAGTTCCGGAGTTGAAGGATCCTACAAGCCCCGGGGCCCTGAGACGAACCTAAACCCCGAACCGTCGATCCCCAACACCCCGAAGGGTGAAGGGGCTTAGGGTCTAGGGGCTAGGGCTTGGGGGTTTAGGGTTTGGGGCTTATAGTTATTATAGGGTCTAAATCCAAAATGCTACAGTCTCAAACGGTTTGAGACTGTAGGTTTGAAGTTTGAAACCTATGAAGCTTAATTACAATGGCTGCTAGCTGTGAATCCCGCCTTGAATGTAAAGTCCTCAATCCTAGTAATCGGAGCAGAGGGTCTTTAACGTCTGACAACCTGAAGCAGTTCGAAGGCAAGCACCCAAAATAACACGCCAAAGAGCCAGTCAGTCAGGGTAAAGTGCTCGGACTGCTTCCCCGGGCAGACGTGGACGATGCCTGAACAAAGCATCGCAGCGATATGGAGGTCGAAGGTTTGCAGGCTTCATGCAGGCTCATGCGTCATTAGGAGAGGGATTTGGGCTCTCTTCAAAGTATAGTCATGTAAGGAACACTGCTGGAAGTTATATAGTCTTCTGTATTATGAATACCAGGGAGTGCGGATGTAAGCGTGGTCCGCTGTTGGTTTCCTGGTTTTCTGTTGATGTGTCCTGCAGTCTCCTTGCTGGTGGTGGTTTGCACGTGGTCTCTTAGTGGTCTCCTGGTGGTCATGCCGTGGTAGTTGTGGTCGTGGTAGCCATGGTAGTCGTCGTGGTCGTGGTCGTTATTGTAGTCACGATCGTGGCGGTGCTCTATCACTGTTTGGGAATCTACGCTGGCATGATATTGAAAATCGGCAGGGTTCGATCCCCCATTGGCGTCCTTTCATGGGAAACCTTATATAAACTTCGCTGGCTTGCTTGAGGACCACTAGTAGTGGACGAGAGCACCTTTATAACGCTTCTTCGTTCGGGCCGTCCTGTGCAGCGACTGGGATGATGTTTTGGCACCAAACTGCAGCTTTAGAGTCTACCTAGGGACCTAGGGAGCCAACACCTACTGTTTTAGGTGCTGTACCCCTTAATTCAAGGGGTCATGACCTACTATATTTGTAGGGTTTGGGGCGACAGGTAGGGTTTATAAGGTTAGGGTCAAGCTAAACGGAGATACTGAAGTTTAAGCGCTTGTCTCTATGCCCTAAACCCTAAAACTTACAAACCCTGGCCCTGAACCCCAAAGCCCTTTATACTATAAGCTCTAGACCCGAAACGCTAAAACAAAAACACACAAAACAAACTGAGCCCTAAACCCTAGACGTGCACGCACATCCGACACAGAAACATCAACTCGCCATCGCCCAAGAGAGACCACGAAGAATCAAAACACCAAGACATACCAAGACCTTTCTGGTGGTACACCTACTGAAATGTGGCCCTAAACCCTAAAAACCCTGGCTAAACACTTCTCTGGCCTTCAGGGGAAACTTACGGGCTCAAGAATCAAAACCAGAACCGCCGATCCTGCACCCAATGGGGTTGAAGCCAAAAGCCCATAAACCCCTCAACCCTTAAACCCCGAAACCCTGCACCGCTGAATCGTAGAGCCTACCAGGCCGAAAGGTTTAAGGTTTGGATTTATAGGGTTCGATGGTTCGGACCTCAAAAACAGACGGGTTTAGGGTTCAGGGGTACGGAGTCGGACTATTTGGGTTAGAGGCCCTAAACCCTAAACCGGGGTTGAGGGTGAGTTTAGGGTTTAGGGTTTAGGGGTGAGGGTTGACTTGATCTTCCCGACTCAAGAATTGAAAAGTCATGGCCTCTTGGGCACTCTGCCTCAGAGTACCACATCTGCCATATCCCCATCATATAGGGGCCTTTATAAGCACCTATACTATTTTGGTGGTTTGCCTCATACAATTATAGTATAATGGGCCCCCAAACCATATTCTAATTATTAAGGCAGCTATATTATACCACACCAGCACACCTTGAGTCTTGCTAGCTGCAACTGTC